GATTTATAATCACCGAGTCTAGTAATTGTTTAAGAGAGTTCTCTGGCAGTTACGAAACTCGAGAGACTGTGGGATACTGAAGGGAAAGGAAGCAGTTCTAACGAGCTCTTCTCAAACACAAGGATATAACTTGTGAACTCGGCTAGTATATATGAAACATTTGTCATGGAGTTGTAGAGGGAGTTATGTGCCTCGCCGGGCTAAAGTAGTGGATGACCTTGCTGTACGGCAAGTTAAACAAGGATCTGAAACTACTAGGTTCCGTACAGACTCAACTCTGCACCCGTGTCAATATGTTCATTATATGCAAGCCTCTTGATTTATAAGTGTTATAAGTAATTCACTATCATCAGGAATTGTTCGAAGCAACACTTTCGGCCATCCAGGCCAGGGTCCAGCTGTATGGCGCCTGTCCCGAAGGTTTTGTTGCTCGAGAAATCTCCAGTATTGACACGGAGAATTTCCATGGCATGTTACATAGGTTGGGGAAGATAAAATGAGAAATTCTGACTGAGTATCACTGGTTATTTCGACTTTAGATTATTTTATCTGTACGATAGTGAGATACGCAGATGACTCATATAATTGCAAAGAGCGATGTAATTATGACAATCCCAATGACTGCGGGTCAACATCTCACAGCGGCTTATTCTCAATAGTTGCAGATTTGATTTAGTCGCGGGGTCAAACAGAAGCAAAGAGGTAAACATTTGATTCCAATTTCCGAATAAGTATTAAAAATTATATCGAAATTATCCACCATATGAAAAAAGGCTATGACTTACGTCTCGATAATTGAATTGTAATATACTATTTCAGGCTGTAGGTACCAAGATTACTACACGAGCCACCGAGGGGAGCACTACCAGTGAGGACAGCTGGGTGCCACAGGGCAAACGAGGAGAACTGACAAGCTCAGTTAACTGTGACCATTGAGTGAAATTATTTAGCGATGTTGATAATACAGTGAACTTGTAAAAACGAGGGAGCCATTATAGAACAGCATGGAATTAAACAAGTTTATACGGATAACAGCGGTGTGATATAACTAATTTTAGTGCAATTTAAAATGTTCATTTGGTAGTATACGTTAATCTATTCAGTTTGTTATTGTTAAAACTTGTAATCAAAGAATAATCAATTTTCTAACAAGAGCTAATATTTATCTCAAACTTTTCATTTCTTGTATAACTATAACTGCTCATATAACTTATTTGCTGCTTATAAAACTGCTAATATAACTTGTATAACTATAAGAAAAGATTACAACTCGATCAGTTCAAACTAATCATCGTGATTGATTAGCGGTCAGATTAAAAAAGAAGTAAGCTACAGTGTACAATATTACAAAAGTATTACTCTGGGGTGCTGGATGCAAACAAAATTAAGTAGTGGTCGAAAACGAAGGGACGCTATGTAACAAAACTAGATGGCCGAGTGGAAATTAAGCTGTCGCCATTTGAACAGAAGGTCAAGGGTTCGATTCCCAGTGTCACCTAGTTTGGGGAACCTACCTATTGAACCTATTGAGAGGTTTAGAAGTGGGCATCTTCACGGCCATCACGCAATCTGCGGACCACCTCCTAGCTAAAGATATGTTGATCTACCTGACATGTTACAAGTTACGCATGAATGTTTTAAGTCTCTTACATGGGGTTGTTTGAAACATATAAATGTGTTATGTCTCGCAAAACTGTGGTTCAACAATCAAGAAATGTAAACCTAATATCCGAACGACGTCCAAGGCCCTGTTATCAGTCATGCAGTACAAATTCATTAATGATTAAAATCTGTTAAATTAATTTGTTAGCTATAAAAAAAAAAAAAAAGTTTTTATTATAAGTTACACTTACATCTTTTAAAAGTAACAAAAACAACTAAATACGGAAACAGGAAATGTGATCGTTCGACTGCTGTATGACTAAAACGATGACGATACAAGAATTTCGCCGCGGTAACACCACGCACGATCAAATTTCCCTACTGCCTACAATGTAATTGTTCTACTTTATTGTATCCAGAGTGGTGTTTGGCGCACGTGATAATCGTTTATATTATATTAGGCGTGCAGAACTTGTAAAATTCTGCGCGCATCTGAAGTGTCGCCGTCGATCTGTATGTGGTTTGGTTGTAGATCATTTCATTTTTGCGCGGTTTTGTTTCGTGTTAACGATGCGTATCATGTCACGTCATATTATTGCATCGTATGCCAACTTTATTGACTGTAATCAACTATTCTGTTTGATGCTTACATCTACAGCACCATCAACTATCGACTATCGAGCCTTTGATTTTATATAGGATTCTTTAAAAGCATACCGCAATCTTGATCTTAGTTGCTCCTTGAATGTAAATGTAACAGTAAAGTAACATCTTTTGTCAACTATGTTTTCGCTTTTTACCATTAAGTGTCGATCAACTGTTAAGTAATCAGCAACGAGTTTATCAGCTGATATCATAATTTAATTTGTTTCGACTTGCTGAATTTTATCACTCGGTAATTTATTAAGCTTGTTTCACCAAAATAACACTTACATTGATGATTGATCCGCTCTGATGACTAATATGCTATAATATTAATGAATAAGAGTGAATTGTAACCCGATGGAAACCTGTGTAACAGTCGTCAAGCACCAAAAACTGGTTGCTATGCCTGTAATTAATTAACACATAACAGGCGTCGCGCGCGCAAAATAGACTCCTTTTATACACATAATTATAGAGGAGTGGTCTATATTGCGAAGGAGCAGACTTTTGTCATCACCGTAGGACCGTCGGGCCACCTCATATATCCAAACCCGATTACTTATTCCCTACGATCTTTTTGCCTTCGGCAAGAGCAGGGAAAAAAATACGTGTCGTAATCCAACGCGTGTCGCAATCCAACGCGAAACAAGGACTTATATTTTATATCCTAATGTCTTGCGCGGCGTAAGATTGCATTTATGACGCGCAAAAAATTTACAGCTTTTTGCAATTAAACAATTTTTTTCCCTATCATGATCAGAAAAAAAGTTATGAACAATTTTATACACCTTTTTTGGCTCATATTTTTGCGATTTTTTCCAACTTTTTTTGCTCTGACACGTACCATTTTTTACATTTTTCTTCAATTTTTATCAAACCTTCACTAATCATTTAATTAAACGTTTTATTTCATGTTTTACATTCCACTTTTGCTAAAACCTTCATAACTGTTTCCAAACACTTATTTTGCTATCGCAAACCCCAAATTTTGCCAATTGTACGCGAAAAAGGTCCCAACTCCTTCTGGCGCGGTGATAATATAATACCAAATACGACAAAAATCAACGAATTTAGTCAAATTACGCGACTTTTACAGCTTATTTAATTTTGCTCCAAAAGCCGCGCACCATCAAATATGGCACCTAGGCGAAACTCACTGATCTTTCCAAAATAGGTAAAAAGGTATAACAAATTTGGTAATGTGAAAATTCTCACAGTCTCTAGAAAACAATGGTACAAACATTTTAAAGTTTATTTTTATCGTGCTAGGGGGTGCTCCATAAAAATAAACTTGCTCGGATTTTAAAAATTTTTGTACCATTGTTTTCTAGAGACTGTGAGAATTTTCACAATACCAAATTTGTCATACCTTTTTGGAAAGATCAGTGAGTTTCGCCTAGGTGCCATATTTGATGGTGCGCGGCTTTTGGAGCAAAATTAGCTGTAAAAGTCGCGTAATTTGACCAAATTTGACCAAATTCGTTGATTTTTGTCGTATTATTTGGATTTATTTTCAGTTCCTTGAATGAGATCATTCTGAAAATTGGCGACGACCTTCCAATAGGGCTTTCACAACTGTCCGAAAAATTTGGTGGATATCGGAGTTGATATAGTGATCAAAATGGGGCAAAATACGCTGCTTTTAGCTGTAACATAATGTCTGATGGTTGGATATGCTTTAAACTTTTCGGACACATTCTTTGTAAGTCTATGAGTTAGCTTACCAATTTTTGTTGCAATTGGAGGTCGGGAAGGATACTTAATATCTATTTGTTTGAAGAAAATTGTGCTGGCCGAAATTAGCGCTAAAAAACCATCCTACAGTCGGCACGCGCGGCTCACTGTCGATGGCGCACTACCTAATCGTGCACTCCCTTGAATTTTTATAGTGATCTCATTCAAAAAACCGAAGATATGACCGACAGAATAATACAACAAAAATCAACGAATTTCGTCAAATTACTGATTACGCGACTTTTACACCTACTTTTGCTCCAAAAGGCACGCTCCATCAAATATGGCACTTAGTTGTAGCGCGATGCACTACTGGGTCGCGCCGCGCATCAAATAATTCTTCTCGCAACCTTCGGTAGATCGGCGAGATGCACCACTGTGCCTCACCGAGCTGCGAAGGATTGACATCGTGAATCAAGGCACTTAGGCGATCAAACTCACGGATCATTCCAAAAAGGTATAACAAATTTGGTACTGTGAAAATCCGGGCAAGTTTATTTTTTATCGTACACCCCCTACCGTAATTCTTACTTGTTACTGGCTGGTGATATTACTAGAGGTGATAGCGTCTTCACAGCTTGCTGAACTCTGCGCGCGCTCATAAGTTCATTGCATTTACACGCTTCAAACATTCCAAAAATGCAATTGCATGCCACGTACCACGTGATACAAGTCAGCCACTCAAATAATAAAAATCTGCAAAGTTGAAGCTGCGCACTTTTGTTTGGCCCAAAATCATACTTTTCGCGATAATTCAAAATTTATAATTTTCCAAATTCTGCTCCTGCCTCCTGGTGAGCTAACTTTAGTTTTACGAAACGAACATTTTTTTGAAAACCAAAACTTTCTATTTCTTTTACTTCCAAAGTTAGGCCTTGGCCTTATCAGTAAGGTTTCCTGGGCCATATAACCAACGCGCATTTTAAAGACTTTCGCTTTCATTTTTAAAAGCTTTCACTTTGACAAAGCATAAATCGCCAATGTTTTAGGAAACTTCTTAGAATTGAAACTCTTTGGAATAAAAGAAATGGAGTATGTATGAGGAAGGAATATAGTAAACTTGATAACTCATATATACTAGGGGAAGGATAAAAGAGAACTGCCAGATAATTCTTAACTTTCCTATATAAATGTTAAGGCACGTGACAAATAATTTACAACATGAGGTATGAAGCTTATTAAATGATTGGATGTTTTGCAGTTGTGATGTGGCACGTGAGAGGCCTAAATAAAAGTGCAGTGCAATCTCCTAGGTAACAATGGATTATGCTTGTGAGGTGAACAGATGCTGAAAGTGGCTTGTTAATGCGTGCTAGAAAAATATTGACTAAAATTATACATGACTTTGAAATGTGAACATGGTAAGGAAAATGGCTATAAAGATGATATGATTATGATATAAATAATAACTAAAATAACGTACAACAGCCACCAACCAAGTAAAATTTCAATTTTAAAATACCAAAAGAAACTAAAGAATTTTTCAACACAAAAGGGGCCCCCTAGTGAGTCCTGGATATTATAATTAGGGTCGTAAAAATAATAATTACATTTAAAATGCCTTGGATCATGGATTGTAGCTCACAGGATCCTCAGCATGTTTAGAGATTTATTTTTACTTTCTTATCAAACATGGATTAGCAATGACAACATTTTGACGTTTTATTGATAATTTATTGAAAATCAACTTGAAATAAAAAGCCGCTCCAACTAAATCGCTCGCCCAAATTTTAAGAAAATTCTTGTGAAAGGAATTCCTTAGGGTGTGAAATTCATCTGAATCGGTGTATTTTAGACGCTGATTCCGAATCACCCCTATGACGTAGGGTAAAAATGCTTCCACGGAAAGTTATGGGCAAAAAACCGTTTTGGTCACGTGACAGGCTAGTAAAACACGAATTCGATTGTTTAGGGCTCGGGTTGGGGTTAGGGTTGTGGTAAGGGTTATGGTTAGCTTCGGGGTTATGGTTACGCTAGGGTTAGGGTTTGGATTAGGGTTTATGTAAAATCGTTTTTGTACGGCTGCAAAATCATAAAAACCAAAGTCACGTGAAATTTTTGGGCGAGCGAATTAGTAAGAGCCATAAAAAGCACTAAAATTGAACGTTCAACTGTCATGAAAGTCTGTTTCATCATCTAATTCTACAGAGTCATCATTGTCATACGTTGTATGACCCGCCGTGCACGAGTGCGCGGCTCCCCCTGTATCGTAGAAACTCTACCATAGTGAAAACGACCGTGGGGGTCACGACGTGATACAAAGTAATCACTGATGGAAGCAATTCCTACGAAGTGTCACATTCCTACGAACAAGCGCAAGATGTTTTGAATTTACCAGCTCCCACACTCCCTGTCTCTATCATCTTACAAGAGCAGGTGTTGTAGTGACAGTCTGACTCACTGGTGGATCCTTCGCTAGACGTCTTTACACCTGGACACGTATTACAACCTGAAATACAACATGTTAATAGCAGGACTCCTCTGTGGACGCATTATAAAATGTTATTGCCAAATAATCTTTCATTGCGAATATTTTTAAATTGTGAAGTGATCCTTTTTCCATTTAATTCAATTATATCAATGTCGATAAGGGCATTAGGGTTGACTTGAATGGAAGAGTTGAGTGTGATGAGAAGGTAGGGTGGTTGAAACTGACCTTTGGTCCCGCTGTCAGCATTGTCCCCTCCGGCCATCCAGTGGGAAGTGGGACAAGTTTTACACCCCTCCTCCGTGTAGTAGCTCCCTCCTGGACACGTACAGGTCGGGGTATCCACGTTAAATATGCCACCTTGGCAAATCAGCTCGGAATCCCCGTTTATCACGTTGCCGTTGTTGCAAGTAACTGTGATTGTAACCCCGTGATTAACCGGCTGGCTTGGGGTTATCGCTCCGTTATCCACAGTGATAGGGGAACACTGTTGGATCTGACATGTTGGCAAAGTTCCAAAATCCGTCCCGTCACAAGTCAACTCACCATTCCCACTACTCAGACTGTATCCATTGTTACAGGTGATAGTGATGGTGATATCAAAGTTAACCGGTTGAGATGGAGTTATCAGCGCATGTTCTACTGTCACAGTAGCACACTGTTGGATCTGACATGTTGGCAAAGTTCCAAAATCCGTCCCATCACAAGTCAACTCACCATTCCCACTACTCAGACTGTATCCATTGTTACAGGTGATAGTGATGGTGATATCAAAGTTAACCGGTTGAGATGGAGTTATCAGCGCATGTTCTACTGTCACAGTAGCACACTGTTGGATCTGACATGTTGGCAAAGTTCCAAAATCCGTCCCATCACAAGTCAACTCACCATTCCCACTACTCAGACTGTATCCATTGTTACAGGTGATAGTGATGGTGATATCAAAGTTAACCGGTTGAGATGGAGTTATCAGCGCATGTTCTACTGTCACAGTAGCACACTGTTGGATCTGACATGTTGGCAAAGTTCCAAAATCCGTCCCGTCACAAGTCAACTCACCATTCCCACTACTCAGACTGTATCCATTGTTACAGGTGATAGTGATGGTGATATCAAAGTTAACCGGTTGAGATGGAGTTATCAGCGCATGTTCTACTGTCACAGTAGCACACTGTTGGATCTGACATGTTGGCAAAGTTCCAAAATCCGTCCCGTCACAAGTCAACTCACCATTCCCACTACTCAGACTGTATCCATTGTTACAGGTGATAGTGATGGTGATATCAAAGTTAACCGGTTGAGATGGAGTTATCAGCGCATGTTCTACTGTCACAGTAGCACACTGTTGGATCTGACATGTTGGCAAAGTTCCAAAATCCGTCCCATCACAAGTCAACTCACCATTCCCACTACTCAGACTGTATCCATTGTTACAGGTGATAGTGATGGTGATATCAAAGTTAACCGGTTGAGATGGAGTTATCAGCGCATGTTCTACTGTCACAGTAGCACACTGTTGGATCTGACATGTTGGCAAAGTTCCAAAATCCGTCCCGTCACAAGTCAACTCACCATTCCCACTACTCAGACTGTATCCATTGTTACAGGTGATAGTGATGGTGATATCAAAGTTAACCGGTTGAGATGGAGTTATCAGCGCATGTTCTACTGTCACAGTAGCACACTGTTGGATCTGACATGTTGGCAAAGTTCCAAAATCCGTCCCGTCACAAGTCAACTCACCATTCCCACTACTCAGACTGTATCCATTGTTACAGGTGATAGTGATGGTGATATCAAAGTTAACCGGTTGAGATGGAGTTATCAGCGCATGTTCTACTGTCACAGTAGCACACTGTTGGATCTGACATGTTGGCAAAGTTCCAAAATCCGTCCCATCACAAGTCAACTCACCATTCCCACTACTCAGACTGTATCCATTGTTACAGGTGATAGTGATGGTGATATCAAAGTTAACCGGTTGAGATGGAGTTATCAGCGCATGTTCTACTGTCACAGTAGCACACTGTTGGATCTGACATGTTGGCAAAGTTCCAAAATCTGTCCCGTCACAAGTCAACTCGCTGTTTCCACTTATAATGTAACCATTGTTACAGGTGATAGTTATTGTTTGTCCTGAACTGGCTGGCTGTGTTGCACCTGTTATCTGAGCTTTATTTACCGTTATTGCCGTGCACGAATCTGAAAAAAGTACCAAGTCATACAATATACATAGTACATACCTTATCGGACCTTATTTGGACGGGCATAACTTGAACGCTGGAGGCCCTAGCGCTCATCTTCATTTCCGTTCAAATAAAGTCCGTACATTTAATGTCCGTCCAAGTTAAAGTCCGTTGAATATTTTCCAAAAATTTTTCCATTTCGAACTTTTTGTCCAGAATATGACAGCTTTTAATTTCAGTCAATTTTAATAGTTATCATTAGACTAAACTATATTGTTGAATCAACGAAAACAAGTTCTTTTATTCAAATTTCTGATTGTTTCTGAATAGACTCAGTGAAGACAGATTCTAATGGAAAGAAATAGCTGAATATCGTATCGACATTTCTACGTCATACTCATATTCTGAAATAGTATTAATTCAATTATATTTATAACGATCAATGTGTACAGTAAAAATTTGGCGACGAAATTTCAAACAAAATATAACTGTAAAATAGTTATCTACTGTAAAATAGTTTTTAACGAAATCAGAGCAAATATGAACAAAAAACTGACAAAATTTATCAAATAGGGCTCATCTGAAAATTAACGAATAGCGTGACGTGTACAGGAGATAAAATATTAAAAGAGATAAAAGAAATTAATGGACAGCAGAGGAGTGAAATTTAAACGAAAATATTACTATTTACACGTCACTCAACTAAAAACTGTGTTGAATTGTTCAACTCTGTTTTGTCGTTGAGTGTTGGTTTCTTTTCAACTAAGAATCGGGCTTCTTTAATCTTTCTGTTGATGAGTGATGTTCCTCTATCTACGATTTGAAGTCTTAGCTTTGGGGGGCCTGTGTGCTGAGGGTGACTTTCCCTGTAGTGCTTTGCTAGTGGCTTATCTTCGTAAGATTTTGCTGTTGGATTTGCCGCACTACGGTAATGCTCGTCGAACCTGCACTTGATTGGTCTGTATGTTTCCCCACCATAGTTTTCGGTGCAATTGTCTACTTCGCAGGTGATGTGGTAGACGGTGTTGGCTGTGGTGCATTCTCCATCGGTTAAAGCTGCGCATGTTCTGCAGTTTGATGTTGTGCATGATTTCTTGTCAAGGGGTCTGGAGTCTGTAAGGAGATCCTTCAGTTTCCGTCCAGGTTTCTCGACAATTTTTATGGGGAGTCCACTATGTCTGACAGCATCTCTGTATTTGCGACTAGTAGCTTCGTTGACATAAGGTAGTTTGAGAATCGCTCCGTCTTGGTCTTTGTTCTGATTGATTCTCTTTCTACGTTTTCTTTTGTTCTTTATGGTGTCTAAGACTCTATCGGTGTAGCCGTTGTTAATGAGAAGTTGATCTATCATCTTTTCAGAGTACTTCTCATTTTCTCTGTTGTTAGAGACTGCCTCTGCGTTGTTGTACATACTCTCAACAGTAACATTCTTTGTACGTGTTGTATGACTATGATGAGAGTTGTAGTGGAGGGTGAGTGGCTTTTTCTGTGGTTTTCTATAGAGTCTAGAATGTACTATTCCATCTGAGTTGATCTTTATTTCCGTGTTGAGGAAGGGAACAAAGTCGTTCTGATTGTCAGGGTAGTCTACAGTTAGTTTGATAAGTTTGTCAGGGTCTTGTTGTTCGATGAGGTTGCACAGTTAATTATTAATTAATACTATTTCAGAATATGAGTATGACGTAGAAATGTCGATACGATATTCAGCTATTTCTTTCCATTAGAATCTGTCTTCACTGAGTCTATTCAGAAACAATCAGAAACAATCAGAAACAAGTTATTATAAAATTTTAACGATCTAAATTGTAAATATCACATTATGGCATGATCACTATCTTATTGATTTAAATAATTTTGCCCGTGCAGTTGATCTACAAGGGAAAAACAAAGCAATTTCTTCTTAAGTATACATTCCTTCCTAACTAAACGGATTAAACGGATTAAACGGATTAAACGTTAATTGGTCAAGAGAAGCCCTAACACTCCAGGCTTGACAATAAAGGAGTGAAATCATAACATAGAAATAAGATACGAAAACCGTGAAGAAACAAATATTATAATTTAAGCTAAGTCTCTCGGGAAACGAAGTGCATCTATATCAATTAAAAATTTAGCAATCTCTTTTAAAGCTTTGGTTGAGTGAATATGAGATCCATTCCCTCGAAGAGGTTGGTTTTAGCTTCAGGGCTAAGGCGGTCCCTGTTGTCTTGGTAGAGAGGGCAGGTTCTAAGCACATGAACCTCATCTTCAATTATGGGATCAAAAAAGGGTAACTCTGCCATGTACTCCAGAGTGTTCTTGTCCTTAGTGGAACATGTAGGGCAGATACGATTTAGGATGTTGTTTCTTCTGACATGTCCATTAGCCCGGTTCATAAAACAAAAATATTATCCAATAATTGCGGCAATAGGCTTATCTGTTGTTCCTTAGGCCAAATAACTATCAAAAAAATTTTTAGGCGGTGAGAGCTAGTCCTTATTTGGGCTAGTCTTTTTGACTGGTTATATTGAAGATAGAGAGAGAGGTATTTTTCACAACCAAAACTTGATTTAATCGAATTGTAAAATCCAAGTTTTCTGTTGAGCTGTCTCTCTTCATCCCATTGCGTTCTAAAGCAAGAACGGAGAACATCTCGTTTCTGAATGGGTGATAGTTGCCTTTTGTTCGTTTCTGCCAGAAATTGATTCATCGACGTAATGCCGGAGTACCATGATAGGCCCATTTTCTTTTGTTCTGTGAAAGCATGTCGAACAAGGGCTTCTGATCCGGAAGTTTCCATGCTTTCTAGTCTTCGAACATAGTTAAATACTTGGGGACTGGCCTCAATAGCAAGAGGGTATCGACCCGTATCGCCCCACACTCCTGCATTGGAGGTTCTTTTTCCGACGCTTATTATAGTCCACTTTAGGAAGGAGAGGTGAACTTTCTCGATCTGATCTTCGGCAATTTCTTTGAGTTGAGGGAACTTGTTCCGGGAAGAGAATGCCGTTGTGAATTTGGTCTGGGGTAACCATATCTGACAACCGTAAGAGGCGATAGGAAGTACTAAGGCGTCGAAAAGCTTAAATATCACAGTTTTCTTAATTGACTGTAGGTCAATCATACTTTTGAGTGAGAATAGCTTCTGATAGCTTTCTGCTTCAATTTCACTTGTGCTAGCTTCAGACTTCCAGTAAGAGTAAATGTTATGCCGAGGTAGGTATATTCTCGGACAGAGGAGATGGATATTTGGCCGTAAGTGAAGTTTTTGCTTTCTTTTAGTATGCTCCCAGCACGGTTGAAAACCATGATAGCTGTTTTAGATATGTTAACTGACAAGCCCCACTCAAGGCAGTAGTATTCGAGAGTGTTGAGCTATACATTTCCGAAAGACTTTGAGGTTATTTTTAGCGAGAAACATTGGGCAAATGAATCTACAAACAATATGTTTTATCGAGAACATCATAGTGCCGTATGTTAACGACGAAAAGGTTCTCCTTGGTCTGCCGGAGGCACAGACAACTTTTCTAGTGTATGATGTTTTCAGGAGTCACTTGACGGAAAAAGTCAACGAAATTATGGCACTCAACAACATAGTTCATGAGCTAGTCCCCGCCAACAGTGACCGTGTGTACTGCTAGCAACGCATCACTTCCTGGGCTACAGTATTGACTTCACCGCCATTTTCTCCTCCCTCTCCGCCATTTTCTCCTCCCTTTTCCACCCATCACTATGGATCTCAATTCTGTTACCAATGTTTTAAACTCGTTTTCATTAAATGAGCTGAAAGCTCAGTGTTGAGAATGTCACGAAACTTAAGAGGGATTCAGTTAAATGCGAGGAATTCTTGGAGTTGCATTCAGATTTTGTTCAGAACAAGAGTGTTCAACATGGCACGTTGATGTCTGAACTTGAAACACTTATGGCCGAGCAAACTGCTGTGAAAACTGCCACAAAGTGGCTCACCTCTACTGGAGAGGAATATGTATGGTCTTCCTCAAATGGCCACACCACGACTAAGGAGCCGATCGATATTTTAAATCATCCTGGGATATCAGAGCTTATGCATGATATCAACTCCAAGTTTGGCTGCAAGCTAAACTCATGCCTAGCAAGCATGTACAAGTCTGGTTCTTGTGCAACTAGGTACCACAACGACGACGAGGTGTCTCTTGACCAGTCGCAAGGTATTTATGTAGTTTCAATTTCATTTGGAGCTGAGAGTACCCTCGACATAATTCCAGAAAATGGGGATAAGCGATGTAACAATAAATGCCATATCACCCCAAAGGACTGTAGTTTGTATATTATGAAACCGGGGTGTCAGGAATATTGTCTTCGCAAGGTTCGTGCAGAGAGCTCAGTTAAGGAGACTCGGTATTACGGTATAGCTTATCCTTTCGCTGCCAGATACCGAAGACAGATACAAATGTAGTCAGGGAGCAGATTGTCCGCACTACAATTCCTATGCCGCCCACCACCACCTCAACACCAACCCTTTACTACCTAAATGCTCAAAGAAAACCGAAGAGCAGGAAAACCACTGTCCTGTTTGGAACGTCAATGACAAAATTCGTACGGACAAATAAGTTGGGATTCCGGGGAAGGAAAGTAATCAATGTGTCTCAAAGTGGTGCAAAAATTAGAGACATCACTGAATACATTCAGCATTTTCATAAAACTCATGCAGCTGCAGAAGCTGACGATATTGAAAAAGTTATATTGAGTGTTGGTACAAATGACATAAAACATTCTAAGTATGGGGTTCAGTTCCTTAGGAAGTATCTTAATGACTTAATTGACTCCACTAAGCAGTTATTTCCCGCAGCAATTATAAGTATCCAATGTTGTCTTCCTATTAAGTGTTTATATTCCTACATAGCAAAGAATGTTCTAGATTTTGACAATCTACTTAAAGACTTATGCCTAATAAAGAATAATTGCGTGTTCTTAGACTGTTTCTCAGACTTTTTAACTCGAGACTTTAGATCCTGTAATGAACTTCTATACCATGATTGGCTTCATCTCAACATGAGAGGAGTAGGTTTACTGTCCACTTGGCTTAAGTTTGTTGTAAACGAACACAGTTCTGACAGGGTTGTAAATAATCTTCTGGGAATTTAATTCTTTGATCTTTTATTTCATTTAATATTTTGATTAAGACGTTGCGCCTAAAATTAAAACTCAAACAAATCTCTAATTTAATCTTTTTCTCAATTTTATACCTCCCATTTCAGGTACATTCGGTCATTGCCCATTTTCCAATATGTTTGACAATGAATCGTTTAGACTTAGAATAGGTCTTTTTGCATGCAAAAGGCCTCGCACACAGTCAAAAAATGCACATATAATACATATCAATACGTTTATACCTAAAAAATTTACACATTCATGTCCCCATGCACATTGCACTCCACACATCAACTACAATTATCATAATCATATAATGTTTCTCTTCTATTCTCTCATCATGACTTACTTTCTCCCAATTCTTCTCTCCACGACTAGGTCCATGAACACCTTATTCCCCCTAGATTCTAATATTCATTCCTCTCTACTCCTTGACAGCCCACGTTATCTATCTTATACCATTTCTTGCTTGCTCCCACATCAAACTTTTCTTTGTAATTATCTCCTCATGGTTCATAAGAAATGTTCTTCTCCCTGGTAAGATGATTAAAGTCAAGTATTCCAGCCGCCTCAGGCGTCTAGTCTCTTTATTCATTCTTTGGGTTTTCTCTCTTAACTTTCTTTTGATAACTCTTGATAATCCTTCAATGCTTAATCTAGGTCCCAACTCCCTATCTGTACTCTACCAAAATGTCCAAGGCCTTATTCCTTTCAGTAACCTAAGCTCCTCCCATCCCATTCTTGATGGTAATACGATTTCCGAACTTCAATCCTTTGCTAACATAGAGCAGCCTGACATAATTGCCCTAAATGAGACTTGGCTCAAAAAGTCTATTTCTAGCAACGAAATCTTTCCTTCTTCTCAATATGAAATCTTCCGCAATGACCGCACGAGAAAGACTCATCCTCAAGATCCTAATAACCCTAAAAAGTTTAGGGAAAATGGAGGTGGTGTTCTTTTGGCTGTTCGGTCTGATCTCGACGCCACTACAACCCGACTACCAGTTAGCCTAGGTGCCGAAATGCTTGCCGTTAAAATTGCTTTTCCTAACAAAGAGAGTATTGTAATCTGTACTAGTTATAGAGTAGAAACTCTTGGGTTACCTAATCATGATGTCATAGTTAGTTATATTCGCAAGCTAGTTTCCAAAAAGAATCCCCCTAAAATCTATAATATTGGTGATTTTAATCTTCCCCATACAGACTGGCTATCTTCATCCAGTACCGTATCTATCGAGCAATCCTTTATAGATTCTTTCAGTGATCTTTCTCTCTCCCAGTTGATCACATCACCCACCCATAAAAGTGGTAATACATTAGACATTCTTCTCAGTAATTATGATAACACAATCGATAACTTGAATGTCTGTGATCCTCATTCAGTGTGCAAATCTGATCATTTTCCTGTCACTTTTTCAATTAAAAGCTCCTTTTCCCGTAAGAAAACTCCTAAACGTAAAATCTATAATTTTAAGAGAGCAAACTGGGACATGATTAATCGTGAATTATGCTCGATTAATTGGCAAGTCCTAGAATGCCTGGATCCTGTTTCGTCTTGGAAGTTAGTTAAAGAGTGCACTATGAATTTAGTTGATATACATATTCCTAAAGTAACTATTAAATCAGAGTTCCAACCCCCGTGGTTCGATAGTGAACTTTTTTCTTCATGCCGTAAAAAAGATAGGCTCAGAGCTAAATTTAAAATTTCTGGTTCTATTTCTGATGAGTTAAAGTTTGTTACTAGCTGTAAAGATTTTAAGAGGTTCTCATCAGCCAAAATAAGAGACAGTCTTTTCAATAGTGATGATCCAGCGCTTATAACTAAGAAGTTTTGGTCACATGTTAAGTATCAATCTAACTCCTGCCGTATTCCTAATTGTGTTAGTTATTCTGGACAGCTTCGGTTCAAACCCAAAGATCAAGCTGAACTGTTCAATTCTTTCTTCTATAACCAGTTTTCGGATCCTTCACTTTATGACACTGACATCTCCTATGTCAATGATGTTGATTTTGATATTGACTTCGATCATCGGGATGTTCGTAAGCTTCTTTCAAATATTAATTCAAATAAAGCCCAGGGACCAGATGGCATACACGGTAAAATTCTAAAAAATTGTTCCGTAGGTTTAGCTTACCCTCTAACATGCATTTTTCGTGGATCCTACAACAGCGGCTACATTCCACAAAAATGGAAACTTGCAAATGTTGTCCCAATATTTAAGAAAGGTAAGAAAAGTGAGGTTCAAAACTATAGACCAATATCCCTTACTTGCTTAGTCATGAAAGTTTATGAGCGCATTGTTAAACGTAAACTGCTTTCTTTGACAAGTACCCTTCTTGATCCCATGCAGCATGGTTTTCTAGAGCACAAGTCATGCACAACCAATATGGTTGACTTTTGTGATAGCCTGGCATTGTCTCTTAACGAAAACATTATCAATCATGTTGTGTATTTTGATTTTGCTAAGGCATTTGATTCTGTAAATCATGATATCCTTCTTCATAAGCTAAAGACCTTATATAACATTGATGGTACACTTCTCAAATTCCTTACCAATTACCTGCAAGGCCGTTACCAAAGACTAAGAGTGGTTATTGGTAATGAGATGTCATCTACCCTTTCAGTTAATTCTGGTGTCCCCCAGGGCTCTATTCTTGGTCCCTTACTCTTTGTATTGTTTATCAATGATATTCCCCTTGGCCTTTCGGATGATACTGATATTGTTTTGTATGCCGAATGCCGATGATACAAAAATCTGGCGTAAAATACATTAATCTTCTGATAATGCTAATTTGCAAAAGGATATTGACTAGATCTTTCTGATTGGGCACTTAGAAACAAAATGCGGTTCCATCCAGCAAAATGTAAGGTACTTGTTGTTTCGGGGAAACCATCCTTATCTCCTCCATTCGCATATAATCTTGATGGCTCTCCTCTTTTGTATGTAGAGTTAGAAAAAGATCTTGGAGTTGATATTACTCCTAAGCTAAGTTGGTATAGTCAGTGCGACAGAATTTATACTAAGGCCTGCCAACAACTTGGTATGGTTAGAAGAAATGGCCATATTGTCATTGATCAGAAACGTCGCCGGGCCCTTTACCTTTCCCTTTTTCGTGGCCAATTCGAAAATTGTTCCATAATCTCGCGCCCTTGTAATAAATCACTTAGTGATAAAATTAGAAATTAGAAAGTCTCCAAAAAAGAGCTATTAAAAGGATTCTGTCTGAAGAGAGCCGAAGTTATCCACCTGAGCAATATGTCAAAAAGTGCAAGCTTGTCGACATTCTCCCTTTATCTCAAAAGTTTGACTTGAATGATCTTATTTTTTTCCACAAAGTTCTGAACAATTTAATTCCTGTATCGCTGCCTCACTATCTCTCTTTATATCAGGGCACTTCTCGACTAAGACGTTGCCACCTCGACAGTCTGTCTATTGTGTCATCAATCTTACCTAAGTTAAGTCAGAATTCACACACCATAAGTACCTCAAATAGCCCACTGGCAAAATCAATTTTTTTATGAAACCCATATACTGTAGAATGGACTCCCTTTACAGGTAAGACAGATTGTGTCTACTAGTCTTTTCCAAGCTGAGGTCACTAAGCATCTATGGAAATGTTTATTGGATAGTGAAACAACAGTCTAACTCTAGCCTAGTAGTCTCTTTGCTCCCCATATTATTATTATTTTTTAATTTTTTATCTACCTTCCTATACTTTCAACATCATATCACACTTCCCCCACACACCTTATCACACATTAATGACCATATCAGACCTGTATCTAATGTATCTGGAATTTGACGTATTGAAATACCAATTTTAACTTTATATCGACAATTATTCACCATGGATTTGTTTGTTATTAAATAGTTTTTCATACATTTTTGGATTTAGATTAATTCAATGTAATGGGTCCAAATTACTGCGGACATAGTTTACTATGTGTTTACCGTGTTTGGGTGCCCATCATATTTTACAGTTGGGGGCGATATTTTGAACAACTCTATTTTATATTCATCTATTGCTGTACTCTGTAAAATTTGAAAAGTATTAAATTAAAAAAAAGAATCGGTATTCAGTTTCAGGTTTCGAGGGAAAAGGGCACGAACCTATAAGATTAAGACAATCCATGTTGCCTGCTGTTAGACCCTTTTTAGGTGATGCTCCTGCACCATATTTCTGACTCTTCAACCAGCAATAATTTAGAGTTCCCGAAAAAACACTGTCGTCATAGACCATCACGAAAGCTTGGCAATCAGCCTGATCTTTGCACTTCTTGTAACAATCGTCTATTCCAGTAGAGGTTCCGCTTGATAAGTCTTGTCCGGGGTAGTCTGTATCGTTGTCCATGCACTGCAACCAATCTGAAATATTTTAAATAATATTAACTTAAGTTTTCTTAGATTTAAGGTTCAAGAACGTTTAAAAAAGACGGAAAAATTCGGATTTTTGATGGTTTTGATATTGCCTTCTAATTCTAGTATTAATGACCGTTCATCATTATGTCTGTTCAAGTAATGTTCGTCCAAATAAGGTCCGATAAAGTATCGAAATATAATATGTTACTTACAATTTCTTGTTTCAGCCCCCATCACCTGGGAGATTAATACTCGATTAGATATATTTGATGTTGTTTAGATGCAAAGTATTGTGTATAATATTGAGACTCAAGTAAAACATCGTGCCCAAGGGCATTATCACAATGCTGGCAAGCATTACCGTCGCCCTTATATTCACAATACTATTTACCCCCTATACTATTATATCCCCTGTATTGTTTTCCAGGCATTAAGACTCATCGAAAGTAGTTCAGCAGGTATATTTAAGTTCAAAACATTCTAATTCAATGTTAAAGATGACAGGAATAAGAAATAGTTATGTGGAGGTTTTTAAGAAATTTGCGCAAAATACGCGCCAGCATGTTATACGAAATTAGGTAAAAAACCCAAAATCAAGATCTGAAACTTTGCAGGGCGTCTAGACCTCGCCCAAATCGACACTAAACAAAATTTCATGTTTCAGCAGTATCGGCAAGTGGGTTTTCTGGAACCCCTGTTTTACAACAGATTGTCGTGAAGTATATATATGTATGTATGATTTCGAATATATTCTGCTTTCCCACAATATTTAAATGGCATTATATATGAATTTAATGCCAACTTGAATGAGTAAAAAGTGCCATATTCAGTCAGTTATCGACAGATATACCTACCTAAACACAAGGAAACGTTTTCAAAGGCAGAATTTCGAAATCGTTGAAATTATCTCCTTATTAATGAAGTTTCGACTGTGTAAATTATCCTGACATTATAATCATAAAGAGATGATATTTGACCAGATAATTTGAGGAACCGTCCGCAAATGCAAATTGATACCGAGAATGAAATCGGTCGCTCGCTTTTCCCATTTAATAAGCTTTATTACAATTCGTAAGCCGTGAATGGGAAAAGCGAGCGACCGATTTCATTCTCGGTATCAATTTGCATTTGCGGACGGTTCCTCAAATTAATATCATTTCCTTTTGTTTGGAAAAGAGAGACACTGGCAGCGGTTCACTCTACCCATGAATATGGGTTTTGGTCAAATTTGCTATTACATATATCTTGAAAACAGGTTATTGGCTATATAGAAGACGAAATTAGGTAATCACTAAGTCACTATATTTAATATTCATTTTATTGTTTAAAAGTAAAATTATTTCTAAGTACACGGTAGATCATAAGGTATATGGAGCTGCGGCGTGCCGGGCTGGGAATAATATAGTGAGGTATGAAGTAATAATTCACATTTCATTGTGTTGTTCACGGCTTGGTGCGGTGTGGATTCTTTTAGCCGTTATACATGTTTCTTTTGAAGTTTGTGATCATTGCTTCGTGATTTTGCTGGTTGTATTTGGGTTATGTGGATTTTATGTGATGAGTACGTGGTTGATTCGCGTTGTTTCTTGTTGATTGTATAGGTTTTACGATGTTACTTGTTATTGTAATATTTCGTAGTATTGATAGATTATTTTAACATTGTAATTTTGCAGCTATGTAAGTTATTATTACGTCCTGTGTATGACAAAGGCATGTTGCCGAAACATCGACAAAGAATTTTGTGTTTACAACACTGAGTGGAGACTTTCACTTCGTCAACAGCATTTCGAAATATTTTTACTTAGTTGAGATACGATCGTGCCAATGTTAACATGTTATGATGTTACAGGTTACTGCCGTAGTATAATTTATGTGACCGGTGCGTGGTTACAATAGTGTTGATTGATCCATAGTACGTAATCAGTAATATGGAGAAATGGTAACGGAAACATGTTATTAAAAATCGGAAAACAATCATCCGGAGGATATGATAATAATAATATTTGAATGAACAAACCAGAACTTCGGCAAGAGATTGCACTTCTCCACCTTCTCTATTTCTGATCATTATCTCGGAGCCAGCTTTATTAACCGGCACAACCATAGGGGGTCCATCATTGCTGTTTAATGTTCCTACTTCCGTGCCATCAATTAAGACAGAGGCACCATCAATTCGGTCCTCGCAACAATCTGTTCGTCCAAAGATTTGGATTTCCTTGATATACATTGAGCGAGGGTATGTCAGCGACCACCAGGCGTTACTACCCAATGCTAGAGTGTGGGTTAAAGAATTGCTGAAAATAATAAGTACCAATTAACCAATATTTAAGTTTTCTACACAGGAATAGAAACGTTTTTTGCTGAAACATTTTAGAATGTTATAAATTTTGATTACTCCTTTCCTCCCAGAAACTAATGTATTCAAATTATTTTAAGTAAGTTTCTTACTCTGTCATGATGCCATTATTATCGCCATCAATAGCTAATTCAGCATTATAGTTATTCATGGTATCAGTCTGTTTTGCCATTCCTTTGCTTGCGATGTTCTTGACCTCTGTAGTTGAAAGTATTTAATGCTTTAATGGATATAGAGAGGTAAACATTTACTCACGAAAGCACGAACAAACTAGGGCCTGTTGTCGAACTTTTGAGGGAGTCCTGGACCCGAACCGCCAAACGGTACAGCCACGCCCATATTTGGTCCAAATTATGTCCAATTTAGCCAAATAACCTGAACATGCCCAAAACCCAACTTTTAGGTGCTCTACTTGTAAGTGTTTAACCGACTCACTAACACATGTATTTTTTATAGGACTTATTATGTAAAAGAACTACGAAGATATTATCCAAATTATGATGCTTAACTGCTTATCCAACGTATTACATTATTTATATATATATAATAGGCTACTTAGCGAACCTGGACAAGGACCGGAGTTGCAATTTTGCGCTTCTGTCAAACTTCCCTCACAATTAGCACCACCATTAGCTGGGGCTGGGTTATCACAGCTTCTTTCCCTGGTCTGTTGTCCTTCTCCACAATAAGTTGAGCACACTGACAATACTCCAAACGCACTCAATCCTCCATCAATTTCTAAGTTGTAAAACTGGTTATAATTATATACCAAAAATAACGGATTTTATTTTGCGCTAATTGTCTTTAAACTTTGGGAAAGGTCAATTTAATTTTTAGTGGTTATGTTTTTTCTTCATACTGAAGTAACTTTTGAGGGAGTCCCGGACCCAATCCGCCAAACAGTGCAGCCACACCCATATTTGGTCCAAATTAGGCTCAATTTAGCCAACTTTTAGGTGCTCTACTTGTAGAGTGAGGATAAGTCAGTTTTGTAGCTGTGAGCATGATCCAAAGTTACACAGAAGTTGTTTTACAATTTTCTAATTCAGTAATCGGTACTGGTATTCAGTTTCATGTTTCAAGGAAAAGGGCACGAACCTTTAAAACAATCCATGTTGCCTGCTTTGAGACCCGTAACGGTTTGTGCTCCTGTACCATATTTCTGACTCTTCAACCAGCAATAATTTAGAGTTCCCGAAAAAGCACTGTCGTCATAGACCATCACGAAAGCTTGGCAACCAGCCTGATCTTTGCACTTCTTGTAACAATCGTCTATTCCAGTAGAGGTTCCGCTTGTTAAGTCATGTCCGGGGTAGTCTGTATCTGTGTCCATACACTGCAGCCAATCTGAAATATTTTAAATAATATTAACTTAAGTTTTCTTAGATTTAAGGGTTCAAGAACGTTTAAAAAAGACGAAAAAAATTTCGGATTTTTGATGGTTTTGATATTGCCTTCTACTTCTAGTGTTTATATTAATGTCCGTTCATAATTATGTCCATTTAAGTAATGTCCGTCCAATTAACGTCCGATAAGGTATGCTTTTTCTTCATACTGAAGTATCGAAATATAATATGTTACTTACTTTTTCCTGTTTCAGCCCCCATCACCTGGGAGATTAATACTCGATTAGATATATTTGATGTTGTTTAGATGCAAAGTATTGTGTATAATTTTTAGACTCAAGTAAAACATCGTGCCCAAGGGCATTATTTGCTATTACATATATCTTGAAAACAGGTTATTGGCTATAGAAGACGAAATTAGGTAATCACTAAGTCACTATATTTAATATTCATTTTATTGTTTAAAAGTAAAATTATTTCGAAGTAGACGGTAGATCATAAGGTATAAGGAGCTGCGGTGTGCCGGGCTGGGAATAATATAGTGAGGTATGAAGTAATAATTCACATTTCATTGTGTTGTTCACGGCTTGGTGCGGTGTGGATTCTTTTAGCCGTTATACATGTTTCTTTTGAAGTTTGTGATCATTGCTTCGTGATTTTGCTGGTTGTATTTGGGTTATGTGGATTTTATGTGATGAGTACGTGGTTGATTCGCGTTGTTTCTTGTTGATTGTATGGGTTTTACGATGTTACTTGTTGTTGTAATATTTCGTAGTATTGATAGATTATTTTAACATTGTAATTTTGCAGCTATGTAAGTTATTATTACGTCCTGTCTATGACAAAGGCATGTTGCCGAAACGTCGACAAAGAATTTTGTATTTACAACACTGAGTGGAGACTTTCACTTCGTCAACAGCATTTCGAAATATTTTTACTTAGTTGAGATACGATCGTGCCAATGCAACATGTTATGATGTTACAGGTTACTGCCGTAGTATAATTTATGTGACCGGTGCGTGGTTACAATAGTGTTGATTGATCCATAGTGCGTAATCAGTAATATGGAGAAATGGTAACGGAAACATGTTATTAAAAATCGGAAAGCAATCATCTGGAGGATATGATAATAATGATATTTGAATGAACAAACCAGAACTTCGGCAAGAGATTGCGCGTCTCCACCTTCTCTATTTCTGATCATTATCTCGGAGCCAGCTTTATTAACCGGCACAACCATAGGGGGTCCATCATTGCTGTTTAATGTTCCTACTTCCGTGCCATCAATTAAGACAGAGGCACCATCAATTCGGTCCTCGCAACAATCTGTTCGTCCAAAGATTTGGATTTCCTTGATATACATTGAGCGAGGGTATGTCAGCGACCACCAGGCGTTACTACCCAATGCTAGAGTGTGGGTTAAAGAATTGCTGAAAATAATAAGTAATTAACCAATATTTAAGTTTTCTACACAGGAATAGAAACGTTTTTTGCTGAAAATTTTTAGAATGGTATAAATTTTGTTTACTCCTTTCCTCCCAGAAACTAATGTATTCAAATTATTTTAAGTAAGTTTCTTACTCTGTCATGATGCCATTATTATCGCCATCAATAGCTAATTCAGCATTATAGTTATTCATGGTATCAGTCTGGTTTGCCATTCCTTTGCTTGCGATGTTCTCGACCTCTGTAGTTGAAAGTACTTAATGCTTTAATGGATATAGAGAGGTAAACATTTACTCACGAAAGCACGATGGAGGGGTAAACTGAAAGCTATGTAAAATACCAAGATTTTAAATTCCCAATTAGTCAGACTGAGCAGGTTGAGCTGTAGTAATACACAATAAACCACGCCCTGCTTGATTGGACCGTAAAATATTTTGACTGCACAAATTTTATTTTCCAAACATTATAACTGGCTGGTCACACACGCATCTCAATTAAATTCCCATAGGATATTGTTTTCCAAGTCTTGTCCTGTGAGTAAAGAATGTGTGAGAAAGTATTAATAAAATAAATGTATATTTTTTGAATTTTCTAAATCTAATCTGAGAATGAAGTATAAAGAAATTTTGAATTATCACTGTATAGTTTAAGATATTTATAGCTTATTATAACCATTGATACAAAGGCCATAATCTTTCGCCAGCTCTCTAATATCTACCTTGAAGCTGCATTTTATATCCTTGAACTACACAATATAAACTAAAGCATGTTTTAGTGTAGACTTTTTGTCACAACAAGACTGCAACCTATAGTAACAACTATAAACAGAACCCTTAATGTCTACTAACAAAATTCTTCTAGTCCTAATATGAGCCTTGTCTCTAAAAACCTAACTGAACTAGCGTTTCGGTGTGTGCAAAAGCTTTCAGGCACGCGCATTCCTTGCCCCGTTAGTTACCTGTCCTTCCAAAACCAAACTAGCAGTTAAGGACAAAAAGTCATACACCAAATGGGCATTATATTTTATGAATTGTTTTAAATCTTTTTATTCTGTAAAATGTGCTAAAATTAAATTTCTTGTTTCATTGAAAAATTTCTTGTTTCATTGAGTTCTGAGGTGTTAAAAAATTTTCATTACTATCTTCAGTAACATCCTGAATCAGAAACTCGGTTAATATCTGAATAGCTGAATCCGTCGTCATTTTCTTCAGGGACAAATGTTTTGTCAGAAATGAGTTTGTAGTAATGGCCTAATGGGCGCGATGTTCGTTTACTCGTGCCCTGAGGGGCAGCACCGTTCTTCCTACTATACATAACACATATTACAAAGTTGGCAACTAAAGAGGTATACAACAGTGTAGCTGACACATGTACCAGACACTGTTTTGGATCGCTGTCCATTGACTGTTATTGATGGATGTGGAAATATGATGTTACAGCTTTACAGGTACCGCAGTATCTGCCCCCACATGGTCTTGTGTGAGGTTGGGTTAGGTCATCCGCAAACTGTTTTGCTTTGACCAACTTCCTTCTAAATGATGTTCCAGTACGTCTGACGAATTTGAGGATAGGGCGTGATGTACCGGCTCTAGATGATATAGGGGAGCCTGGGGTGTTTTCACTTGTATGAGAACCAGATAATCCTGAGAAACTCCTGGTTCTGCTGAGTTCTAGTTACAATCTTTGTACTGATTCTACCAACTCTTGGTGGCTGCCAAATGTTGAAATAACGCGAACTGCTGGTTAGAGAGACTTTGGGACCAGGACATTGCTGTTTGAGTTGTCCAGTGGTTTGAGACATCTTTCAAAACCTTTGACTTTTTCACTGATATTATCTACCATAGTTTTAGGGTAGGTCGATTGAAAGAAAAAGTTTTTCAATTCATCAATTTGTTATCGAAGTCTGTCGTTATCATTGATGATTCGGCGGAGTCTCAGACATGCACTATAGACTATGCTGCTGAATGTATGGTTCGGGTGCTGGGAACCGAAGTACAGGTAGGAGCGAGCATCAGTCTCTTTAACATAGAGGTCTGTCTGAAGATCACCTGCGGTGTCGAAACAAAATTTGATGTCTAAGAATGACACATAAAAATTGTTATCTTCTATGATGTTCTCATCAATGTGGAGGCCAAGTTCTGCTAGCCTTGAATTGACAGTTGTGATGAATTTTGAAAACTGTCTTTTCGTACCATGGAATACTCCACAGCCGTCGTCTATTTATCTCTTGACCGATCTTACAGGTTCCATTAGTTCCGTGTCTGAATAAACTTGCTCACGCGTGACATGGTATACTGCTATGTTTGCAAGTTGAACACAGATACTGCCTCCTGTCGGTACTCCTCGTTTCTGCCTGTACCACTCTCCGTTAAATTTGCCTATAGACGACTCAAAACTGAGTTCAACACTTCTTATCAACCACTCCTTGAATTTGGCGGACCATTCTGGTCTCTTTTCTTCCATGGCCACCTTCAAAGCTCGGAGTGTAAGGTGGGGACTCAATGAATCATATAAAGCTTTGCAATCAAATGTGAATGCTTTAATAATGCTTTTAAGTTCTGTGTCCAGGGTATTGTTGATGTTGTCGAGCCAGACTAAGGCGTCTCTATTATCAATAAGAAGGTCTTCGCAAAAATCCCTTTCTAGTTGACGTAGGTATTTATCAGCTAGGAAGACATCCGGTCGTCTGCTGGCTCCTTCGTGGAGGGCGGTAATGAGTCTTGCTCGTGGTTTGGCCCCTGGTATGAGTTCTTCTTTCTTCATCTTATGAATTTTAAAAGCAGGGTAGAAATAAGGCTGGCCAGGGTAGTGTGGGAGGGTACTGGGGCGGTTTGTGGGTCCAGTTTGGTCTGCTGTGGTGTTGTCAGAAACACCAAACACTTCTTTTGCATCCCTTGCTGATATCAGTCCTTCTTCTTTTCCCTGTACCTGCAGTGCTTGAAGAGTTTCTCATACAGCTGTTGGGTAGGGTCACAGTCCAACTTTTCATTTAATTCCTGATTTTCCAGTTTCTCCAGTGTCCGTTGCTTGATGAGGTTAGGGTCGATAATAAGGCTTGCACCACCCTTGTCTGCCTTGATGGCTATTATCCCATCTTTAATGCGCTGTTCCAACCATTTGAGTCCTTTTATCTCAGAAGAGGATAAGTTGGTGGGCTTAGGTGGGCTTCCGGAAGTCTTCAATTTGATGTCGAGTTCTCGTCTCATTGTGTCCACTGCTGTATTGACTGCTTGTTCATTGCTTGGTTTTGCTGTAGAGTAGTTTTTCTACGGAGTTTGGCGGGGAGGTTGCTGATGTTAGGTATGTCTCTCCGGAAAGTACTCTATTGGAATAGTTCAGTATTTTGTTGGTGACGAGCTTCATGTCAAGTCTCAGGTCGATTTTATCCCGAGTTGGGGTTGGGATGTAGCCTAGTCCTTTTCCTAACAGTGCCAGTGCCCCAGCAGGTATGTCGTCGTTAACCAACACTACAACACTTCCTGTATCCAGTGCTCTTTTGGCGTCACACTCGACTTTCCTGTCGTTCCGGTGTTGTCGCTTTTTGAAATTCCTCCTCTTCTTAGTCTGTGTCAGTAAAGTTTGGAGGAGAGCTTTGGTCTTGTTGGGCCAGTGTTTCCACTTGTTGTTGTTTTGGCTTCTGTAGAACTCTATTTTAGAAATGTAGTGTTTCTTCGGGCTCTTCACGTCGTTTGGTGGTAGTGTTAGTTGTGGCTCATCACTAGATCTGGAGATCGTTGGCTTTGATAGCCAACTCTAGATTCTGTGACTCTAGATAGACTCTAGATGGACAGGTTACGGAACATTTCCGGTGATTCTACGATAGTAGTTCCTTTGGATCGTAGGGAGGGGGAGGACGCTTCAAGTAGCGGCAATTCCTGAGGAACTATAGTCTTAACCGGTGTATACTAAGCTGTTGAGATGGTGAATAATCCGAAAAGTTCTTTGAGAGTAAAAAAAGACAGTTCTATTAATGATATTTTCGCAAAATAAAGATTATGAACCCTGATTCACCTTGATTTTTTTGTGAAACTTGGTTTCGAGATAGCAGTTGACGAACAAACTAGAACCAGTGGTCGAACTTTTGAGGGAATCCCGGACCCCAACCGCCAAACGGTGCAGCCACGCCCATATTTGGTCCAAATTAGGCCAAATTTAGCCAAATACCCTGAACATACCCAAAACCCAACTATTAGGTGCTCTATTTATAGAATGTTTAACCGACACACTAACACATGTATTTTTATAGGACTTATAATGTAAAAGAACTACGAAGATATTATTCGAATTGTGATGCATAACTGCTTATCCAACGTATTACATTATTTATATATATAATAGGTTACTTAACGAACCTGGACAAGGACCCGCGGAGTTGCAATTTTGCGCTTCTGTCAAACTTCCCACACAATTAGCACCACCGTTAGCTGGGGCTGGGTTATTACAGATTCTTTCCCTGGTCTGTTCTCTTTCACCACAATAATTAGTTGAGCACGCTGACCATTGTCCAAACGCACTCAATCCTCCATCAATTTCTAAGTTAAATAACTGTGTTATATATCAAATATGCGCTAATACTCTCTGAACTTTGGGAAAGGTCAATTTAATTTTTAGTGGTTATGTTTTTTCTTCATACTGAAGTAACTTTTGAGGGAGTCCCGGACCCAAACCGCCAAACAGTGCAGCCACACCCATATTTGGTCCAAATTAGGCTCAATTTAGCCAACTTTTAGGTGCTCTACTTGTAGAGTGAGGATAAGTCAGTTTTGTAGCTGTGAGCATGATCCAAAGTTACACAGAAGTTGTTTTACAATTTTCTAATTCAGTAATCGGTACTGGTATTCAGTTTCAGGTTTCAAGGGAAAAGGGCACGAACCTTTAAAACAATCCATGTTGCCTGCTTTGAGACCCGTAACGGTTTCTGCTCCTGCACCATATTTCTGACTCTTCAACCAGCAATAATTTAGAGTTCCCGAAAAAGCACTGTCGTCATAGACCATCACGAAAGCTTGGCAACCAGCCTGATCTTTGCACTTCTTGTAACAATCGTCTATTCCAGTAGAGGTTCCGCTTGTTAAGTCATGTTCGGGGTAGTCTGTATCTGTGTCCATACACTGCAGCCAATCTGAAATATTTTAAATAATATTAACTTAAGTTTTCTTAGATTTAAGGGTTCAAGAACGTTTAAAAAAGACGAAAAAAATTTCGGATTTTTAATGGTTTTGATATTGCCTTCTACTTCTAGCGTTTATATTAATGTCCGTTCATAATTATGTCCGTTTAAGTAATGTCCGTCCAATTAAGGTCCGATAAGGTATGCTTTTTCTTCATACTGAAGTATATATGAAATATGATATGTTACTTACTTTTTCCTGTTTCAGCCCCCATCACCTGGGAGATTAATACTCGATTAGATATATTTGATGTTGTTTAGATGCAAAGTATTGTGTATAATATTTAGACTCAAGTAAAACATCGTGCCCAAGGGCATTATTTGTTATTACATATATCTTGAAAACAGGTTATTGGCTATAGAAGACGAAAATAGGTAATCACTAAGTCACTATATTTAATATTCATTTTATTGTTTAAAAGTAAAATTATTTCTAAGTAGACGGTAGATCATAAGGTATATGGAGCTGCAGTGTGCCGGGCTGGGAATAATATAGTGAGGTATGAAGTAATAATTAACATTTCATTGTGTTGTTCACGGCTTGGTGCGGTGTGGATTTTTTTAGCTGTTATATATGTTTCTTTTGAAGTTTGTGATCATTGCTTCGTGATTTTGCTGGTTGTAATTGGGTTATGTGGATTTTATCATTTATGTGATGAGTACGTGGTTGATTCGCGTTGTTTCTTGTTGATTGTATGGGTTTTACGATGTTACTTGTTGTTGTAATATTTCGTAGTATTGATAGATTATTTTAACATTGTAATTTTGCAGCTATGTAAGTTATTATTACGTCCTGTCTATGACAAAGGCATGTTGCCGAAACGTCGACAAAAAATTTTTTTTTTCAACACTGAGTGAAGACGTTCACTTCGTCAACTGCATTTCGAAATATTTTTACTTAGTTGAGATACGATCGTGCCAATGTTAACATGTTATGATTTTACAGGTTACTGACTTAGTATAATTCATGTGACCGGTGCGTGGTTACAATAGTGTTGATTGATCTATAGTACGTAATCAGTAATATGGAGAAATGGTAACGGAAACATGTTATTAAAAATCGGAAAGCAATCATCTGGAGGATATGATAATAATAATATTTGAATGAACAAACCAGAACTTCGGCAAGAGATTGCACGTCTCCACCTTCTCTATTTCTGATCATTATCTCGGAGCCAGGTTTATTAACCGGCACAACCATAGGGGGTCCATCATTGCTGTTTAATGTTCCTACTTCCGTGCCATCAATTAAGACAGAGGCACCATCAATTCGGTCCTCGCAACAATCTGTTCGTCCAAAGATTTGGATTTCCTTGATATACATTGAGCGAGGGTATGTCAGCGACCACCAGGCGTTACTACCCGATGCTAGAGTGTGGGTTAAAGAATTGCTGAAAATGATAAGTTCCAATTAACCAATATTTAAGTTTTCTACACAGGAATAGAAACGTTTTTGCTGAAAAATTTTAGAATGTTATAAATTTTGTTTACTCCTTTCCTCTCAGAAACTAATGTATTCAAATTATTTTAAGTAAGTTTCTTACTCTGTCATGATGCCATTATTATCGCCATCAATAGCTAATTCAGCATTATAGTTATTCATGGTATCAGTCTGTTTTGCCATTCCTTTGCTTGCGATGTTCTCGACCTCTGTAGTTGAAAGTACTTAATGCTTTAATGGATATAGAGAGGTAAACATTTACTCACGAAAGCACGATGGAGGGGTAAACTGAAAGCTATGTAAAATATCAAGATTTTAAATTCCCAATTAGTCAGACTGAGCAGGTTGAGCTGTAGTAATACACAGTTCTGAGGTGTTAAAACATTTTCATTACTATCTTCAGTAACATCCTGAATCAGAAACTCGGTTAATATCAGTTCCTACAAAGTGGAACAATCGAAATGAAATGACACAACTAAAAACGATATGATTGTGCCCCAATGCAATAGAAAACCTCTAAGATAAATCTAATAATGGGATCTCAAATGGGTCCATGGCATTGAGCCCCAGTGGACGTATAGTTCTTAGTTTCTGAATATAACGGTGTTCATCCACTTCTAGAGTTCTTGGGCTAAGCTATTACCTTATTCCTGAGAATTGACACCTTATAAGCCTGGTTGAAATTGTCACGTTGTTTCACATTGTGAAGTTCTACAAGGTGTTTACCCAAGCTGAATCCGTCGTCATTTTCTTCAGGGACAAATGTTTTGTCAGAAATGAGTTTGTAGTAATAGGCGCGATGTTCGTTTACTCGTGCCCTGAGGGGCAGCACCGTTCTTCCTACTATACATAACACATATAACAAAGTTGGCAACTAAAGAGGTATACAACAGTGCAGTAGCTGACACATGTACCAGACACTGTTTTGGATCGCTGTCCATTGATTGTTATTGATGGATGTGGAAATATGATGTTACAGCTTTACACTTTACAGGTACCGCAGTATCTGCCCCCACATGGTCTTGTGTGAGGTTGGGTTAGGTCAACCGCAAACTGTTTTGCTTTGACCAACTTCCTTCTAAATGATGTTCCAGTACGTCTGACGAATTTTAGGATAGGGCGTGATGTACCGGCTCTAGATGATATAGGGGAGCCTGGGGTGTTTTCATTTGTATGAGAACCAGATAATCCTGAGAAACTCCTGGTTCTGCTGAGTTCTGGTTACAATCTTTGTACTGATTCTACCAACTCTTGGTGGCTGCCAAATGTTGAAATAACGCGAACTGCTGGTTAGAGAGACTTTGGGACCAGGACATTGCTGTTTGAGTTGTCCAGTGGTTTGAGACATCTTTCAAAACCTTTGACTTTTTCACTGATATTATCTACCATAGTTTTAGGGTAGGTCGATTGAAAGAAAAAGTTTTTCAATTCATCAATTTGTTATCGAAGTCTGTCGTTATCATTGATGATTCGGTGGAGTCTCAGACATGCACTATAGACTATGCTGCTGAATGTATGGTTTGGGTGGTGGGAACCGAAGTACAGGTAGGAGCGAGCATCAGTCTCTTTAACATAGAGGTCTGTCTGAAGATCACCTGCGGTGTCGAAACAAAATTTGATGTCTAAGAATGACACATAAAAATTGTTATCTTCTATGATGTTCTCATCAATGTGGAGGCCAAGTTCTGCTAGCCTTGAATTGACAGTTGTGATGAATTTTGAAAACTGTCTTTTCGTACCATGGAATACTCCACAGCCGTCGTCTATGTATCTCTTGACCGATCTTACAGGTTCCATTAGTTCCGTGTCTGAATAGACTTGCTCACGCGTGACATGGTATGTTGCTATGTTTGCAAGTTGAACACAGATACTGCCTCCTGTCGGTACTCCTCGTTTCTGCCTGTACCACTCTCCGTTAAATTTGCCTATAGACGACTCAAAGCTGAGTTCAACACCTCTTATCAACCACTCCTTGAATTTGGCGGACCATTCTGGTCTCTTTTTTTCCATGGCCACCTTCAAAGATTGGAGTGTAAGGTGGGGACTCAATGAATCATATAAAGCTTTGCAATCAAATGTGAATGCTTTAATGTTACTTTTGAGTTCTGTGTCCAGGGTATTGTTGATGTTGTCGAGCCAGACTAAGGCGTCTCTATTATCAATAAGAATGTCTTCGCAAAAATCCCTTTCTAGTTGACGTATGTATTTATCAGCTAGGAAGACATCCGGTCGTCTGCTGAGTGCTGGCTCCTTCGTGGAGGGCGGTATAAATGAGTCTTGCTCGTGGTTTGGCCCCTGATATGAGTTCTTCTTTCTTAATCATCTTATGAATTTTAAAAGCAGGGTAGAAATACGGCTTGCCAGGGCGATAGTGTGGGAGGGTACTGGGGCGGTTTGTGGGTCCAGTTTGGTCTGCTCTGGTGTTGTCAGAAACACCCAACACTTCTTTCGCATCCCTTGCTGATATCAGTCCTTCTTCTTTTCCCTGTACCCAGTGCTTGAAGAGTTTCTCATACAGCTGTTGGGTAGGGTCACAGTCCAACTTTTCATATAATTCCTGATTTTCCAGTTTCTCCAGTGTCCGTTGCTTGATGAGGTCAGGGTCGATAATAAGGCTTGCACCACCTTTGTCTGCCTTATTGGCTATTGTCCCATCTTTAATGCGCTGTTCCAACCATTTGAGTTTTTTTATTTCAGAAGAAGATAAGTTGGTGGGCTTAGGTGGGCTTCCGGCAGTCTTCAATTTGATGTCGAGTTCTCGTCTCATTGTGTCCACTGCTGTATTGACTGCTTGTTCATTGCTTGGTTTTGCTGTAGAGTAGTTTTTCTACGGAGTTTGGCGGGGAGGTTGCTGATGTTAGGTATGTCTCTCCGGAAAGTACTCTATTGGAATAGTTCAGTATTTTGTTGGTGACGAGCTTCATGTCAAGTCTCAGGTCGATTTTATCCCGAGTTGGGGTTGGGATGTAGCCTAGTCCTTTTCCTAACAGTGCCAGTGCCCCAGCAGGTATGTCTTCGTTAACCAACACTACAACACTTTCTGTATCCAGTGCTCTTTTGGCGTCACGCTCGACTTTCCTGTTGTTCCGGTGTTGTCGCTTTTTGAAAGTCCTCCTCTTCTTAGTCTGTGTCAGTCAGACGTGGGCGCCGCCGAAAATGCTGCAGCGGCGGCGTGAGGCCGTATTTCACTCGGCGGCGGCGGCGTATCGGCGGCTGGAACCAATTTTTTGGCAACATAGTCATTGTACCACTGACTGACATCTTATAAGCTAATGTACACTTTGTAATTTGTATGCTAAGGTTCATTTCAAAATTGAATGACGATTTGAAAGAGCAACTATTTATACTCTGTTCAGCAACAAGCAGATATTTGGCTACGATAACGGCACAACTGAGGCAAAAATTTGACATTCGGCGCGCCGATCGAAATTTATCGGCGGCGGCGGCGTGTCGAATTTATCGGCGGCGGCGTACCGGCGGCGGCGCCCACGTCTGGTGTCAGTAAAGTTTGGAGGAGAGCTTTGGTCTTGTTAGGCCAGTGTTTCCACTTGTTGTTGTTTTGGCTTCTGTAGAACTCTATTTTAGAAATGTAGTGTTTCTTCAGGCTCTTCACGTCGTTTGGTGGTAGTGTTAGTTGTGGCTCATCACTAGATCTGGAGATCGTTGGCTTTGATAGCCAACTCTAGATTCTGTGACTCTAGATAGACTCTAGATGGACAGGTTACGGAACATTTCCGGTGATTCTACGATAGTAGTTCCTTTAGATCGTAGGGAGGGGGAGGACGCTTCAAGTAGCGGCAATTCCTGAGGAACCATAGTCTTAACCGGTGTATACTAAGCTGTTGAGATGGTGAATAATCCGAAAAGTTCTTTGAGAGTGTTTTCTTATAGTTCTTCTGTTTTCTTGGGGAGCATGTAAAAAATGTAAAAATAGACAGTTCTATTAATGATATTTTCGCAAAATAAAGATTATGAACCCTGATTCACCTTGATTTTTTTGTGAAACTTGGTTTCGAGATAGCAGTTGACGAACAAACTAGAACCAGTGGTCGAACTTTTGAGGGAATCCCGGACCCCAACCGCCAAACGGTGCAGCCACGCCCATATTTGGTCCAAATTAGGCCAAATTTAGCCAAATACCCTGAACATGCCCAAAACCCAACTATTAGGTGCTCTATTTGTAGAATGTTTAACCGACACACTAACACATGTATTTTTATAGGACTTATAATGTAAAAGAACTACGAAGATATTATTCGAATTGTGATGCATAACTGCTTATCCAACGTATTACATTATTTATATATATAATAGGTTACTTAACGAACCTGGACAAGGACCCGCGGAGTTGCAATTTTGCGCTTCTGTCAAACTTCCCACACAATTAGCACCACCGTTAGCTGGGGCTGGGTTATTACAGATTCTTTCCCTGGTCTGTTCTCTTTCTCCACAATAATTAGTTGAGCACGCTGACCATTGTCCAAACGCACTCAATCCTCCATCAATTTCTAAGTTAAATAACTGTGTTATATATCAAATATGCGCTAATACTCTCTGAACTTTGGGAAAGGTCAATTTAATTTTTAGTGGTTATGTTTTTTCTTCATACTGAAGTAACTTTTGAGGGAGTCCCGGACCCAAACCGCCAAACAGTGCAGCCACGTCAAAATTAGGCTCAATTTAGCCAACTTTTATGTGCTCTACTTGTAGAGTGAGGATAATTCAGTTTTGTAGCTGTGAGCATGATCTAAAGTTACACAGAAGTTGTTTTACAATTTCCTAATTCAGTAATCGGTACTGGTATTCTGTTTCAGGTTTCAAAGGAAAAGGGCACCCGGCACGAACCTAAAAAACAATCCATGTTGCCTGCTTTTAGACCGATGAAAGATGTTGCTCCGTTACCATATTTCTGACTCTTCAACCAGCAATAGTTTACTGGTTGGTGCGAAATATGAGTGTTGTCATAGACCATCATAAAAGCTTGGCAACCAGCCTGATCTTTGCACTTCTTGTAACAATCGTCTATTCCAGTAGAGGGTCCGCTTGATAAGTCTTGTCCGGGGTAGTCTGTATCGTTTTCCATGCACTGCAGCCAATCTGAAATATTTTAAATAATATTAACTTAAGTTTTCTTAGATTTAAGGGTTCAAGAACGTTAAAAAAAGACGAAAAAAATTCGGATTTTTGATGGTTTTGATTGCCTTCTACTTCTAGTATTAATGACCGTTCATCATTATGTCCGTTCAAGTAATGTCCGTCCAAATAAGGTCCGATAAAGTATCGAAATATAATATGTTACTTACTTTTTCCTGTTTCAGCCCCCATCACCTGGGAGATTAATACTCGATTAGATATATTTGATGCTGTTTAGATGCAAAGTATTGTTTATAATATTTAGACTCAAGTAAAACATCGTGCCCAAGGGCATTATTTGCTATTACATATATCTTGAAAACAGGTTATTGGCTATATAGAAGACGAAATTAGGTAATCACTAAGTCACTGAATTTAATATTCATTTTATTGTTTAAAAGTAAAATTATTTCTAAGTAGACGCTAGATCATAAAGTATATGGAGCTGCGGCGTGCCGGGCTGGGAATAATATAGTGAGGTGTGAAGTAATAATTCACATTTCATTGTGTTGTTCACGGCTTGGTGCGGTGTGGATTCTTTTAGCCGTTATATGGGCAATTCCACGTAGTGTAATTCCCACTTTGCACAAAATTTAGCTTTTAATTGCATGCTAATTGTAGACTAACATTAGCAGCATGATAATATAAAGTCAGAATGAAGTTTAAACGTTTGTGATGATGTGGCAACAAAAGTTTAATGTCTATCTCTTATACTTTTTATGTGAGCAGCATTTAATAAAGTAGGCGTAATTCACAGGCAGATTTTGGTGTTTTAGAAATCTTGCCTTAAAATTGCAATTCGTGCCCCAGTGTATAAATAGCAGAAGTTACAGTAAGGCTTGATCACAATAAAGTACACAGTTTTTCAACTTCCTATGTCCTTCCTAACATAAATTTGTGGAATGTGTGTAGTACAGGGACAATATAGGAAGTAAACGTAATTCACATTTGGAGGTAGTGTTACTCACACTCTGCCCAGTTGCTCTGTTTGTGCGTTGTATTGATGTTTGCTTGTTCTTGATTTGGTTGCTGCTATTGTAAAATGGTGAAGTAGACTGACTATTACTGATTTTAAATTAAATTGACTACTAATTGGTCCAATTAGATACTGGTAATGGTGTAGATTACACCCTACTGCCATACCACAGTGGTCCGGGCGCCCATGCGAGGTAGACATAAGACATAGGCATGACTAAGGGGTATGATATACCACAAAACATATCTTGCCCCAAAATAACGTTTAAAAAGGTTTTTAGAGTGATTAAATGGATATTTGACCTCAAATATCAATTTTACCCCATTTTTTGTCAAAAATTGCATTTTTTGGCAATTTTTTACCATTTTTTAGGACAAACTACAAAAATAAGTTGCAAATTAACTTTGGTAAGCATCTATAAGTTGATCTATCTGTAAGTATAGGACATTTAGAGTAATCCTAGAAAAATGTACAGTGTAATATTGTGGCATGATTTTTTTATGAGCTCTCAAAGGTTCATGATTAGACAGAAATTGGGTGAAATTTAGAACTTTTTGAATCCATTTTTAGGCCATTTTATCACTTCTATCAATTCTAAACTACTTCTTTGTGTTTTTAATGTGAAGAGGTCAACAAGAGCTATAATTTGATACATCTATACATGGTTTTTGATAAAAATTAGAATTTTTTGGAGCAAAAACACTGCTCTTTTGAGCAAAATTTAGTTACGTGACAAGAAAATAAGGTAATTTTAGCCCCAAATTGCTGATATTTTCTGAAAAAAAAAAGCCTTTGAATTACTTAAATAAGTGTTCCCAGACCTAACAATGACTATAAAACACTTTAAAATCAATTTTGATGTCCTAATCCATATAAAAATCATTATTTTTGCGATTTAAGGTCTAAAAGTGGCACATTTTGCCCTGGCGGAACCCTAATTTCGATAAAATTACCAACACTTTCAGGCAGTTGTTGAAAATAGGTCCCTGGAATTGCCCTGGAAGTATTGAAAGTACAATATATTTCACAACAAAGCTTTTAAACCACTTGTTTTATTAATTTTCCGCTGTGTGAATTACACTACCAAGCTGTGAATTACGCTACCTGTGAATTAAACTACCCCTACTTTTTGCACTTCCAGTGTGACAAAACGAATGAAATTTTCTGACCTTTATAGATGACTAAAGTTGCCTTTAGAGAGAGAGTTTCGAATCAAACAGACTTATAGTGTAGCCACAGTAAAACATTTTGCACTATTTGGTAGCGTAATTCACACGCGAAGAGGAAAAATTTGATCATAAGACACTCAAAAAGTAAAGAAATTTGGCCCTCAAAATTTGGCTGGCTTTCTATCTGAAGCCCACTAGGTTGATAAACAGAATAAAATATTGAATTCTACGATTAATAAAGCTCCCAAAAATCTTTCGGAAAATAACTGGATATTCACATTAAAGATACACTAAATTTAAGCCAACTTTGACGCGCTACAGTTTTTAAACTAGGCTAGATATCAACAAACGGTTTTTTGCCCCTGAAAATATGGTCAAATATCTTAAAGATTTTCTATCTCTCCCAAACCACCTCCAAACTTTATTATTTTGTTACTGGTTACCGTTATCGTGGAATTGCCCATATATGTTTCTTTTGAAGTTTGTGATCATTGCTTCGTGATTTTGCTGGTTGTATTTGGGTTATGTGGATTTTATGTGATGAGTACGTGGTTGATTCGCGTTGTTTCTTGTTGATTGTATGGGTTTTACGATGTTACTTGTTGTTGTAATATTTCGTAGTATTGATAGATTATTTTAACATTGTAATTTTGCAGCTATGTAAGTTATTATTACGTCCTGTCTATGACAATAGCATGTTGCCGAAACGTCGACAAAAAATTTTTTTTTTCAACACTGAGTGAAGACGTTCACTTCGTCAACTGCATTTCGAAATATTTTTACTTAGTTGAGATACGATCGTGCCAATGTTAACATGTTATGATTTTACAGGTTACTGACTTAGTATAATTCATGTGACCGGTGCGTGGTTACAATAGTGTTGATTGATCTATAGTACGTAATCAGTAATATGGAGAAATGGTAACGGAAACATGTTATTAAAAATCGGAAAGCAATCATCTGGAGGATATGATAATAATAATATTTGAATGAACAAACCAGAACTTCGGCAAGAGATTGCACGTCTCCACCTTCTCTATTTCTGATCATTATCTCGGAGCCAGGTTTATTAACCGGCACAACCATAGGGGGTCCATCATTGCTGTTTAATGTTCCTACTTCCGTGCCATCAATTAAGACAGAGGCACCATCAATTCGGTCCTCGCAACAATCTGTTCGTCCAAAGATTTGGATTTCCTTGATATACATTGAGCGAGGGTATGTCAGCGACCACCAGGCGTTACTACCCGATGCTAGAGTGTGGGTTAAAGAATTGCTGAAAATGATAAGTTCCAATTAACCAATATTTAAGTTTTCTACAAAGGAATAGAAACGTTTTTGCTGAAAAATTTTAGAATGTTATAAATTTTGTTTACTCCTTTCCTCTCAGAAACTAATGTATTCAAATTATTTTAAGTAAGTTTCTTACTCTGTCATGATGCCATTATTATCGCCATCAATAGCTAATTCAGCATTATAGTTATTCATGGTATCAGTCTGTTTTGCCATTCCTTTGCTTGCGATGTTCTCGACCTCTGTAGTTGAAAGTACTTAATGCTTTAATGGATGTGGAGAGGTGTACAAAAATTTTTATGTAAAATAAGATAGTTCTATTAATGATATTTTCGAAAAAATAAAGATTATGAACCCTGATTCACCCTGATTTTTTTGTGAAACTTGGTTTCGAGATAGCAGTTGACGAACAAACTAGGACCGGTGATCGAACTTTTGAGGGAGTCCTGGACCCCAACCGCCAAACGGTGCAGCCACGCCCATATTTGGTCCAAATTAGGCCAAATTTAGCCAAATACCCTGAACATGCCCAAAACCCAACTAGTAGGTGCCCTATTTGTAGAATGTTTAACCGACACACTAACACATGTATTTTTATAGGACTTATAATGTAAAAGAACTACGAAGATATTATCCAAATTGTGATGCTTTACTGCTTATCCAACGTATTACATTATTTATATATATAATAGGTTACTTAACGAACCTGGACAAGGACCCGCGGAGTTGCAATTTTGCGTTTCTGTCAAACTTCCCTCACAATCAGCACCACCATTAGCTGGGGCTGGGTTATTACAGATTCTTTCCCTGGTCTGCTGTCCTTCTCCACAATAAGTTGAGCACGCTGACCATTGTCCAAACGCACTCAATCCTCCATCAATTTCTAAGTTGAAAAACTGGTTATATTTATATAGCAAAAATAACGGATTTTATTTTGCGCTAATACTCTTTAAACTTTGGGAAAGGTCAATTTAATTTGTAGTGGTTATGTTTTTTCTTCATACTGAAGTAATTTTTGAGGGAGTCCCGGACCTCAACCGCCAAACAGTGCAGCCACGCCCATATTTGGTCCAAATTAGGCCCAATTTAGGCCCAATTTAGCCAAATACCCTGAACATGCCCAAAACCCAACTTTTAGGTGCTCTTATACTTGTAAAGTGAGGATAAATCAGTTTTGTAGCTGTGAGCATGATCCAAAGTTGCACAGAAGTTGTTTTACATTTTCCTAATTCAGTAATCGGTACTGGTATTCTGTTTCAGGTTTCAAAGGAAATGGGCACCCGGCACGAACCTATAAAACAATCCATGTTGCCTGCTTTTAGACCGATGAAAGATGTTGCTCCGTTACCATATTTCTGACTCTTCAACCAGCAATAGTTTACTGGTTGGTGCGAAATATGAGTGTTGTCATAGACCATCATAAAAGCTTGGCAACCAGCCTGATCTTTGCACTTCTTGTAACAATCGTATATTCCAGTAGAGGGTCCGCTTGATAAGTCTTGTCCGGGGTAGTCTGTATCGTTTTCCATGCACTGCAGCCAATCTGAAATATTTTAAATAATATTAACTTAAGTTTTCTTAGATTTAAGGGTTCAAGAACGTTAAAAAAAGACGAACAAATTTCGTATTTTAAATTTATTTTTGATTGCCTTCTAACCCCCCACCCCCACCCCCCTCTCCCCCCCCCCCACCTCCCTTTTGACTTTTACCCCCTGCGTTTATTGCATTTGGTATTATGAAATGGTGGGAGCAATATCGGACTATTATAAATATAATAGCTGTAATTGATGTTATTTGGTCTTCCAATGGTTGTGTGAAGGTTAGGTGGCCCAAAGTGTCACTGCTCACTGCTGGATAGAAACCCTGTGCCGCCGTGAGGTTGTCAGAACTTTGAAAAGGGGTATCCCTGTGGTGCCCCCTTCAAGTTAATCATCAGTCAACATGATGATAGCCACTCCACATCAAGTCCTCCCCTGCTACCTCCACGTGGTGAAGACTGGAAACTGGGCTGTGTCCAGGCTAAATACAGGAAGGGCGACGGGAAACAATGAGTCCCGAGGAGCTCAATCACAAAACGTCATTGACTCCTAAACTCTTGGCTCACAAGGGGCTCGGCGACTCATAAATCTTTACTGTGGATTGCACAGTAGTTAAAGAGGTGTAGGCTGTTACCCTCCAAACCTATTCTACTACGACCCAGTCAGACTGGACCACGCTCTGTTAGATAGGATACAGCTCCCTGTGCCAGGGTAACCGGTAGTCAGAGGGAGAGTTAGCCCTCGTCAAAGCGGAAATTTCTGTTTCACGCTCTAACTCCCTTACGCTTTAGGTCATAAGCTTAAGTCCTGCATGGAGCAGGTGAAGATCGAGTAGAGTAAAGTTGAGTGCTAGTGATACAGCCTGATAAACGTTATGTTCATGTGGTTAACGTTTACAAGTTCGAGTTGGTAAAATGTTCCTGCGGTTTTCCCCAATGTTCCGGTGGCGTGGCATTGGGATTAGTGACCATTTGCCACAGTGAAGGGGACTTCACTGGGTCACTTAGCCTTTTGAAAAACAGATATGGTTACAACCAAAAGCACTAGGGTTCAAGCCCTACCAGGCCTATCGAGGATCAGTACAGTTATGACTCGGTTGTCCTAAACCCACATAGTGGACGGGCAGCTGATGATGTGTTTATGAATCCTAGAAAGCCAACAGAAAGCATCAAAAAACAAAAAAATAGTGGAGGAGTAGTTAGTTGTACAAAGAAGAGTATCATTGGGACTCTTAATGTCCGTACTGTGAGGGATTTTCTAAACGGCTTGAAATGGTTACTCTTTTCTTGCACAGTCAGATATCTGTCCTTGCAATACAAGAACACCGAGTTGTGCATGATGAAGAAGTCAAGATAGAGAGGCACAAGAAGGGAGTCCACCTAATAACAACTTCAGCATGGAGAAACAGATCACAAGCGTCTACAGGAGGAGTGGGATTCCTGCTGACTAAACAAGCCTTTAATGCAGTTAGTTTTATCAAGACCTATAGTAAGCGCTGCATGCTTGTGTCGTTGGACGGAAACCCAAGATTAACCATAATCTCTGTGTATAGTCCAACGGAATCCGCAACTGTCGAAGAAGCCGAAGAGTTTCACGACTGCTTGAGAGCAGCAGTAAGGGAGGTCCCCTCTCATCATCTACTACTTGTAATAGGAGATCTTAATGCTCACCTCAGCAAGTTGAATGGTGAAGATACGGGATGGTACTGGCATCAAGTGACCAATCGTAATGGTCATCTGCTCAGGGATACACTGCTGGAGGGAGAGTTAGAGGCGACGAATCATCGTTTTCAGAAGAGTCCTGGTATGCAGTGGACTCACCTCTCAGATGGAGTACTCACTAGGAGCCAGATTGACTATGTCCTGGTACGGAAGAAGTGGAGGAGCTCAATAAAGAACACCGAGCCATGCAACTCTTTCAATTCCCTGGGCTCTGACCATCGGGCAGTACTCTCAACTGTAAAGCTCAGTCTTCGAAAGAGCATAAGTCCACCACGGGTCACACGTTACGACTTCAGTCGTCTCAAAACTGATCAAGAGTTACAGATCAAGTATGGAGTTGAAGTTAGAAATAGGGATAGTGCACTCTTGAGTGAGGAGCAACTAGATCTAGGTCCTACTAATGACGTCACCACTAAGTATGGAAAGTTTATTGAAGCAGTGAAGTATGCAAATAGGAAGCATCTTCCGCATAAACCTAAAAAGCGGTATGACGATCCTGCCAACGACCCAAGAGTAGAGGAAGCCAGAAGCAAATTGTTTGCTGCCAAGGAGACCTACCATCTGGATCCATGTGAAGACAACAGACAGACAGTTGCCGAGGAGAAAGACACTCTCTCTGCATGCTACCGTACTGTGGAGGAAGAGCTGCTTAAACAGAAAATAAGTAAAGCTGAAAACGCAGCCGATAGATGCAAGAACAAAGAGAGCTGGAATCTTGTTAATGAGGTCAGTGGGAGAAAGAAGAAGCCATGTGGTCTTGTAGAAGGAGGTAGTAGAGAGGGTAGATTGAGAGCCTGGAAAGACCACTTTAACAAGCTACTTGGACAACCTCCAGTAGTTCCAAACGAAGAAGTGGACATACCAGTCGTACATCCACCACAAAACATCAGTGTGGATAAGTTCACCAAGACCGAACTGGAGGAGGCTACGAAATCGATCAAAGAAGGTAAGGCATTTGGAGAGGATGGAGTTGCCCCTGAAGTACTGAAGAGGGTAGATGTTGATGATTTGATCCTTGAATTCTGCAATAAAGCACTAGTTGATGGCGATGTTCCTGACCAATGGAAGCACCTAAACATTGTGCCTGTTCCAAAGAAAGGTAATTTGACCAAAGTAGATAACTATAGAGGTATTGCACTGACATCTATAGTGAGTAAGACTCTCAATAAGATGTTACTGAACAGGATAAAACCTGCCATGGAAGACATCTTAAGGATCAATCAGAACGGATTCAGAGAGAGTAGGTCAACAACTAGACATATTCTTGGCCTAAGAAGGGTATTTGAGGGAGCCCGGGATAAAGATCTGACCGCGTTAATGCTCTTCATTGATTTCAAGAAGGCTTTCGACAGCGTGCACCGTGGACTCCTCATGAAGATCCTCCTGGCATATGGAATTCCCAAGGAGATTGTAGGCTTGATACAAATAATGTATGCAGATACATTTGCTCGTGTGATTACCGAAGATGGTCTGAGTGAAGCATTCTTCATTCTAGCAGGAGTGATGCAGGGAGAAACTTTGGCGCCCTACCTATTCATAATCGTAATTGACTACATTATGAGGGTGTCCCTAGAGGGAAGGGACTTTGGGTTTACTCTACACCCTAGAAGAAGCCGTCGCTATCCGGCAGTCAAGGTCACTGATGCGGACTTTGCTGACGACCTTGCTCTTATAACGGATAGTGTTGCGGAGGCACAAGATTTCCTCAGGAGTCTAGAACTGGCGGCCAACTCAGTTGGACTCCACCTCAACGAGGGGAAAACTAAGTACATGGGAATCAACATAAGAGATGATGATAACCCGACTCTGGTTGCTGGGAGTGGGAAGAACATTGAGAAAGTCGATGACTTCGTATATTTGGGTAGTAGAATGAAGAGTTCGGAGAAGGACTTCGAAGTGAGGAAAGCTAAGGCATGGGGAGCGTGTCACCAGATGAAGCTTGTATGGAAGTCGGATATGCGTAGAGATCTCAAGATACGACTGTTCCTGGCTACAGTCGAGGCCATCCTTCTATATGGCTCTGAAACATGGACTGTCAGCCAGACCCTCGCAAAACGTATTGATGGATGTTATACGAGAATGCTGAGGATGGCACTGAACATTAACTGGAAAGAGCGGCAGACTAACGCCAAGGTGTATGGACACCTCATCAGAGCATCTGATAAGATAGCTGCACGGAGGATGAGACTCGCAGGTCATTTAGCCAGACATGAAGAGCTATTGAGTCATCAACTTCTCTTCTGGGAACCCCTTCAAGGGCATCGTCGAAGGGGAAGACCACATCTCACATACATTGACATCCTTCGGAAGGACACGGGGCTTGACGACAGCAAAGAGATTAACAAACTTATGCTGGATAGACAGATTTGGAAGAAGACTATTTCTGTTCGGACGCTGAAGCCGCCCTAAGTCGAGTAAGTCGATTGATGTTATTTCAGAATTTTACGTTTTAGGGTAAAGTTTATAAGTAAGTTTATCAATACTCAACCTGGGCAATTATTTTCATTTGAACCAACTGCACAATCTGCTGAACCATCACATATCTTAAGCGAGAAAGCTAAGATAACGACCAAACACGTCAAACTTTTCTTCATTTTAGAATTTCTCCATCCTAAAACGGTAAAAAAATTATGTCCTCTGTATCAATATTATGATATATATAGGGATCACCTCGTCGTGGTGGAAAATCGACTAAATATCTTTCATTATATTATTAAAAGTAAAAACCTCCCCATCTGAGTCTTTGGATCTTAGCAAACTGTTCCCCGCCCTTAGCCTTAGGCTTATCAAGGATAGTGGTGGTTTCCAAGGAAAATAAATCAGACGGAATAAACTCGGGAAAGGGAGGCACTAAGTGGGTCTGAATGTTGCAGGGGAAAGCGTCATTCGTCCCGAACGCCTGAACCTTCTGCGCTATAGATCTGGATAATGGTGTGGAGGTGCTTGAACCGAATTTGTTTTGACACGTGACAATTGTCCTCGGTTTTTATTGGTCAATGCTGGAAACCACGCAATGCTGTTAAATTCGCACTAAACGTATTATATTCGAATATATTATTATATTCACATATCCAACTAGATTATAGACTCGAGAATGCTGCGCGTTCCCACAGCCGCAATTTTCCGCGCATTTGGCGAATTTAACAGCCCTTAAAATTAAAAATTGAAGTTGTAAATTGGCGAATTATTCGCGTACTTTTTAAGAACGCTAAATACGCCGTACTTTTTGACGAAAATTTGGCGAATTTAACAGCCTGCTGGAAACTTGCTCTTACGTAAAGAAGACTGGTGATCCGTGAGACGGAACAAACTGCCTAACTTCCATCGCAAGTTAGAGCATTAGCTAGAAATAGTAGTAGATATATAATAAAAATTCTCGTCACTTAATTAAATAAGTAACGGGACCGTTACTATATATTTACTGCTAGAACCTAGCTCTGGTACTGATACTCCTAGAGAGAATATTGAACTTAGGTAATCGTTACACAAGTATATGAGAATGCAGTTATACTCTTCCCCAGCGTCTGGGGTCGTTAGTTTCACAAGGGAGATAAAGCAACTGAGCAACTACTTAACTGTCACGTGACTGTCACTGAGGTAACGCAGGTCACACTAACCAATAGTGTGACTTTATTTTGAATCAGTCATTTGTCATCTTTGAGGAAGAGGCCTACCTTGATAAACAAGGGATTCCAAAAGGTAACTGTATATCGAGACAGATTGCAGATATATCAATGCATTGGTTATTGTTCAAGAAGCTTCAGTTAATATATGGGGTCGGGGTCTGGTTAGATTATGGAAACGGTTTATTGATGATATTCTGGATAGATGGAGAGGTACAGAACGGCAGTTTAACAACTTCGTCAAGGAGCTGAACAGACTAGCTGACCTGGAGGGGGATATTTAAAACATATAAGTGATACGAAAGGATTTTATTAGCAGGAGCTTTCAAAATACTTGTGTAAATCGTCTTCAGCTGGGGATGATGTTGTGAAGGGTGATTATATATGATGTAGTGGTGTCAATGATGAGTGGTGTGTGACTCTTGGGTCACTTGAGGGGTCAATCTGCTTTTGTCGAGTCTTCTTTGGCAGAAGGCTCTTGTTTGCCGCCTCAATAGCAACCATAAGCTTCCCGTAGCTTTCAGTGGCCCCATCATCCTCCTCTACCAGGCCAGAGAATCTATTCCGAACTTCAATTGCATACTTTATTTGAAGCTCACCATCCGACTTCAGGGCACTATAATCATAGTTAACTTTTTTCGGAGGCCTGTGTCCTTAATTCCTGAAGCTAACTTTGATCTTACACACTACAATTCTGTGATCAGATCCCAACGACTGAAAAGTGTTGTAAACTTCCGTGTTCTTTAATGAGTTTTTCCACTTCCGCCGTATAAGAATATAGTCAATCTGACCTTTGTTAAGTGTCCCATCGGATAAGAAGTTCCACCTCTTGTTGACCTTCTTTCTGAAGCGGATATTGGTAATTTCCATATCGCACTCCAGGGCAGTGTCTCTCAGTAGCTCTCCATTCCGATTGGTACGAGTATGAAAGTACCAACGGGAATCTTCTTCACTCTCCTTTCAAAGCCGGGCGTTCATATCTCCCTCTGTGATCTGCAGCAGGTGGTGCGCTGGCACATCGTTCATAGCCTGTCTAAGGGTGTTATGGAAATCCTCCGCTTCTTCAACTAGTGCTGCCTCGGTAGGACTATAAGCAGTTATAGTTGTGAGTCTGGGATTTCCGTTGAAAGAGATAGTCAGCACCCTTGAGCCATAGGGTTTAATGAGGCTGATTGCGCTGTATGCTCTTCTAGTCAGCAGAAAGCCCACTCCACCAGTGGCTGCTCCTGCTCCATTCCTCCATGCTGAAACAGTTACCAAGCTAACCCCCTCCTTGAACTGTTCGATCTTGATCGGCTCCTGGTGGACAATCCTATGTTCTTGGATCCCGAGGATCTCCATGCCACTCTCCAGAAACTGAGTCACGAGTTCAAGGCGCTTGTAACCTTCTCTAGCAGTTCGGACATTGAATGTCCCTACTAGAGCTACCTCACAACAAGAAACCAATGCATCCCCATCCTTTTTTTGGTGTTTTATGTTATTTTTTGTGCCGGGTGAAGGAGCCGGCATAATATCATCTGTCAACCCTCTCCTAGGGAGTTTTAGGGTGAGAGAGTCATCAATCCGGTCCCCTCCGACATCTAAATCAGTGGTAGGGACTTTAACCCTAGTGCATAGTGTTATTATAAGACATCATCATACTTTTCAATGGCTGGTGTCTCATGCGCAGTCCCCTGCACATCAGGCAAAGTGAGACACCTACTTAACGCCGGGCACCACTTGAGCGTTAAATGACTTATCCATCTTGGCAACGTGAGTAACAACTTCCGCTAGAACACTTGTTGCTACTAATCAGTAAAAGTGGGTGAAAAAGGTTTTGGTCAATTTGACAATTTACCACCATAATAACACAAATAACTTGAAAAGTATTATAAGCAGGCAAAGGTTATTGACAAAATGAAATCAGAACATTAACTTTGTGAATTTTGGAGCAGGTATGAGGTAGTAATACAATTACACCTATAATTAAAGGCAAGAATAAAAATCCTAACTTTGTATGAGATCTTATAACTCTCACAGCATCATGATCTACGCTTCAGCTTAACTAATATAATAATCAAAATTGCGGATAATGATGGAATGTCCGTTAGTAATAGTATTACGCTGCTCGTTTAGAAACCTAACAGATCTTAGTCATAATTATGATTAATTAGCGTCTAGAAACATCACTGAAATCTTATTACCTATACCTTCAGCCCTTTAGAAAGAGAAGAATTTAGACCTGATGGCGATTTTTTCTCACCAAGTTAACAGAGCCTGTCACCCCCATTTTATTCTCATTATATAATATTAGACGAGACTATAAAGAGTTTCTCCAATATAAAATTGATTTATAGATTGCAACGGCCCTTAAGCGCTTAGTACATCAACTTTAATTCTATTTTAAGTCTATATAATCATCTGCACCCGGGAATTAAAAATTGCAAAATCTTGCAGCTTCGGGAAATTAAATTACCACAATAATATCAGAGTTCAGACTACGCAATATGTAAGTCAACGAAAATAAATCCCATGGAAAAATCGCTCTTGATGAATCGCTAATGAGAGCGGGAACTGGAAAAAGGACAGTCAAGCAAAACCCTTGCAAATCTGATCGAAGATATTCCCTCTAAGAGTTATTCCCAAACTCCCACACTGTAAAACACTAAATCATGTTGAGTCCTAAATAATGGTGATCAGTGCAGACCAAACAGCAAAGCCACAAAAAAAAAGGGGGTTCCCCGTACCCCAACCCATGTAGGTGTAGCTCATAGCTGAGACACCTCACAGCAAGTAGACCAAAGTGGCTCTTGCTTGTGAAAGGTGTATCAACTCCCCGCTTGGTTCAGCTAGGCCTGATGGAGTTCTCTTCCAATTATTCAATTAGACAGTTATATATAGTATAGCCTTCTGAATCAGCCCACAAGTGAGTCTGAAAGGAGGTTAACTTATTTTATTCCAGCTGTTGTGAGCCTAATGGTCATTATGAAAGTCTGGAAATAGAGATCAAGTTTCTAGCTGACTCGTTAAAACTGAAAAGACGTTGAAACTGGGATGAAAAACATTACACGAACACCCAAAAAGATGAACCAATTGATATGAGCAACATTTAAAATTGAACAGCGTTTTAACGTTGTATTTAATTTTAGATTGTGAATGAAAAGTTCTTAAACATTTTATAGGCCAACGTTGGTTAATTTTAAAGGTTAATTTTTTATATAAGACACTGATCATGTACACATCTTTTAACATTTTTACTGCTTAACGACTGCTTTTCTTACTTAAGCTGTATAAAAATAGATTTAAAAATCATTTTCTGAAATAAAAAAACGTTTAAAAAAATGGAAAAAATACGGATTTTTGATGGTTTTGAGTGCCTTCTAGCGTTCATATTAATGTCCGTTCATAATTATGTCCGTTCATTTGATGTCCGTCCAAATAAGGTCCGATAAGGTAGTACTAGTAAATTAACCACAAGCACCAGTTGAAGCTCCTCAGACAGACACAACCCCTATAGAAATAGAGCAACCTGAGCTTACATGGTGCGCAAGTCAACTAAATTGGCGAGCAGACTACTTGTGCGTTATAATGTAAATTTTTGTTTTACAGCACGTAGACGGCGAAAATTTTTGTTGTAAAACAATTACAAAACATATCTAGGTACGAATTTCAAAATTTTGGGCTACTTTCCGAGAATTTTACGTGATCACATCTTAGGCGAATTTTCGACAATTATAAATGTTATGTTTCTTTACAAAACGACGATATTTTGGGGAACACTTTGAAAAGTTTGATTGAACAAAAGATAGTGGAAAAGGAATTGATGTATTAACAAATACCAATTATATAAATTTACGCGTTTAATTATAAAACTAATATGTGTCCACAAACCTAAATTGTGCTTTAAACTTTATTTTATTAATTTTATTCGTAAATATGTGTTGACGACGAAAAGCTGTTATCCTTGGTCTGCCGGAGGCACAGAAAACTCTACTTATAGTATATGATGTTTCCAAGGGTCACTTGGCGGAAAAAGTCAATAATAAGTGACGTTCAGGAAAATTTGATGGACGAAGAAAATAAGACACACGTCCGGAAATGAGCTGGCGGTGGGATCGAATGATAAATTAGCTTAGCCGACTGAATGATTGAATGAAACAATAAATATTTTAAGACTGTATAATTGGTCTGGAACAGCCCTTAAACATTCTGGAATTTTTGGAGGATTTCTGGAAATGATCTTACTTTACCTCACGTTCAACGTTTGCACCCTGACACTAAGTGGGTCACGACATGATGGTATGGGGGTCACGACAATGGTATGGGGGTGACGGGGTCACGCGATGATATGGGGGTCAAGATTTCATACAAATCTTAATCAGGTTTCCGGAAGTTAACCCATTAGAGGAATCTACGAATCTTTCCTAGCCGTTAAGTAAACATCTACGGTAAGGTAATGCTTCCCTTTACGATAACCTAGCCTGCTGACATATTTATTTCTAAGATAAACATATATCTCTGCGGCTATTTCTATCCTCAGGATGCCATATAATGTGAAAAAAACACTTCAGTTTATATTGGTCGTTCGCTTTTCTTATTCTGATTCATTCACGGCCGATTTCATTCTCGGCAACATTTCGCGTTTAAAACAGAAACGGTAATTTAAATTGATATCATTTCCTTTTATTTGGAAAAAGGAAACTTTTGTTACGTTCCATGCACTTTATATTATAACCCAATTTTGGGTTTTGGTTGAAAACTGTTTCCAATGGAATTGAACATGAAATAATTTAAGTTTAACTACATGTATATTGTATAGTGTCAGTGACAAATAAAAGTGTCATTGTCAATGCAATGCAAACATTTATATGTGCCATTAATTTACGAGAGGGCCGCCAAAATTTTTGTAATAATAGACTTTCTAATTGTGGTACGAGAGAGCATATAATTATAATTATAAACAAATTAATAATATCAAAATTCTTGTTACTGGGCGGCGCTCGGCCTATCAATTGTCATTTCAATATGATTATATATTCAATCTGTTTATGAACAGAGATGCCTCGAGGTCCCGCCAGGTAAAATCTTTGGGAGATATAATTAAATTTCTCAATCGTGATGTGGTAGTTGGTACCCTGATAATGACTTGTAAGTTATACTTATACTTAAACCCATGTCTATACTCATGGTGCTACGCGTTTCCAAGAAAACTTGATTACTTGATTCAATTTTTATTCAATTTCCCGTAAAACTAAAAGAATTCCTCCTGTCCTTAATATAGTTTTAAACTATTATCACAACTACAATTAAATACATATATTATTATATGTATCGGTACAAAGCAAACTATGCAATTGTCAAACTATAAGTTTCATGTTTGAAAAGCAATCTTCAGTGACATAATTAACATAAAAATGGCAAACATAATACAACACAGTGCTCCTTTATCAAATTTTATAATTAACAATTAACAATTACTCAATACTACTAAACCTATATAAATAACTCCAAATCCTAATAACTAATAAATACTAACTAAATATGTCTAACTAAGAATTTCCTAGAGTGCATATAGTCACACCATCGATTATAAAACACCACCACCTAAAAAGAGAAAGAGATCGCGGAAGAGGAACATCCTATGGTACAATCCCCCATTCAGTGCAAACGTTTCAACCAACATCGGAAGAAAGTTCTTCGCTCTTATCGATAAGCATTTCCCGAAAAACCTACCGTTACATAAAATCATCAATAGGAATACCGTGAAAATAAGCTATTGCTGCATGCCCAGTTTGGGAAGGATACTCAAAGGGCACAACAAATCAGTCCTAGAGAAACAATCTGAAAAGAAAAAAGCTCCAGAAAAAGAGTGTAATTGCAGAGACGCCTCGAAGTGCCCCCTCAAAGGACAATGTCTGGCCAAATGCATAGTATACCAAGCAACCGTTAAAACGGCATCTAACAAGGAAACGGCCTATATTGGATTGACTGAAAACAGTTTTAAGACACGGTGGTACAATCATCGACAAAGTTTTAAGAATTCTAAGCACAGACTGAGTACCGAGTTATCAAAATTGATATGGGACCTCAAGGAGAAGATGATTGAATATAGCATAGACTGGAAGATTATTACTAAATCGAAGAAATATAAGGCTGGAATGGGGCATTGTGGCCTCTGCTTAGACGAGAAACTATACATACTTAAAACCCCAGGCATTATTAATAAAAGATCAGAAATTATTTCTAAATGTAGGCACTCTAGGAAATTCTTAGTTAGACATATTTAGTTAGTATTTATTAGTTATTAGGATTTGGAGTTATTTATATAGGTTTAGTAGTATTGAGTAATTGTTAATTGTTAATTATAAAATTTGATAAAGGAGCACTGTGTTGTATTATGTTTGCCATTTTTATGTTAATTATGTCACTGAAGATTGCTTTTCAAACATGAAACTTATAGTTTGACAATTGCATAGTTTGCTTTGTACCGATATTTCATGCTCCTAGCTACAGCTAGTAGAGCCCTTTTT